CAGGGCTTCAGAGCTGCATGCCAAATTAAATGTAATTTTAAGGTAACATTCTGCTGTTGATTTTTAGAACAACTCAAAAGGCCAACTGTGGACTCCATCCTGAAAATGCATGGACTTCTGCCTTAGTGTGAAACATGATATTTGTTGATATCTCATAAGCATGATGTAGCATAAATAGATATTTCAAAAGCATGATAGTGTATGATAGTTCAGTAAGTTAATCTGTTTAAAACATTAAAGCTAACTGTATAATACTTCATCTATGATATAACTGTTGAAAAATAGTGATCGATACATGAATTAGCATAGTGATTTACTTTTTTATATCTTGCAAAAATCTACTACCATTAGTTCTTATTTACTGACCCCAGTTGGAACCAGCAGTCTATTGTTAAGCAAAGCGATTGCTATGTGGGAAATCATGGGACTGCTTTCTTTTTACTCATTCCCCTGCCCTGTGGGATGCTCTCTGTGGTACCACAATAGCTAGCTTGCAGCAGCTGCCCTTAACTGACAAGACTACGGTAATCAATTTAACATCTTTGACATTTGTTTGCCTCCTAATGATTTTACTTCAGCTTCTCTTCCCCCCCCCCTTTGGAGTGTTCTCTCTGGTAATGGGATAATTAGCAGTAAGGAATTATTGTTTATAATTAATTAATTGGAGAAGAAGTGATAAGAGAGTAAACAAGCACACAGTGGAGGAATGCACACTGGAAGGAATGCAGTGGAGCCAGCAGCAATTGTGCTAGGCAAAGAGCCTGTTCTATTCCCCTTTGGGTCCCTTTCTCTCCAGTCTCTTTAGTGTGTGTGTGTGTGTGTGTGTGTGTGTGTGTGTGTGTGTGTGTACAGTGGGTCAGTCATAGGACAATGTATATTGACTGTAATGGTGATCATGTAACTGAGGGACATTGGTTGTAAAGTTATTTTTTCAGTACCGTTTTAACATTGAACTCTCCCTGAATGAGTCAGTTGGTACATGAGATCTACCTATACAGTAGTTGTCTGGAAAGAAAAGAACATAGAACCTATTGCAGAATAATACCAAGGAGAGTGATAAGTTGTGTGCCAATGGTATTTGGTGTCTAGGTATTTTTTCATGTATTGATGTGTACAGATGTGTTGCTTTTACAAAGAATAAATTAAAAAAATGAATTGGTGTTTGCAAATTTGATTTCTCATCTACTCTAAAGTAAAATAAGTTTTTAAAAAATTGCCTCCAGTGAGATGGGCAGCCTACAAGATTGATGAATAAATAAAATGTTTTTCAATATTAGATTTTTGGTACTTTGGATATCAGCTTTTTTATCCCAACGAGTATGGCCAAATCATCTGGATGGTATCTGATTTGTAAATAGCTGCTGTAGAACGTGAAAAAAGGCAGTAGTTAAAAAGAAAGGAAGTAATGAGAAAAGTTCTTTTCCTGAAAAATGTGGAGAATTATCAAACATAGAAGCTGCATTTAGGTCCATGGTTCCCAAGCAGTATGCTGCGGTACGCTGGGACATTGCAGCAAAATCATAGAGCACTGTGGGATATTTTACTGCTTATTAAATGGAACTGTTGGTGATCTGGGCTATTACTATACATACGGTAGCTTGAGCATGGTGAATGATGAAAGTTTGGAAACTTCTGATTTAGATATTTTTAAGATTTGTCAAGATAAACTGATTGAACAAGAAGTAGATACCTTGAAGTTTCAATATTTTAAAATATTTATAAACATAATTGATTCTGGGAGTGAGGGGAATTACGTGGCAGGTTCATCTGCTTGTAACTTTCCCTGGGCCAGATTTGGGGATGACAGGCTTCACCCAGTGTTTGGTAAATTGGCATTATAAGTATTGTTAGGTTTAGTTTACTAATTTATTTCATATATTTGAATATGCTGCTTAGAAAAATGTATTTCCTGGGTTAACAGTCCAATATAACAATAACATAGATACTTACCAGCAAAGCAAGTAAATTGTAATAAAAAGAGCAATAAAGTTAATAGACCCAGAGGAACAAAATCTTTTCAGAGATAAAAAGGGCTGCTTACTGAGAAAGTAAATACTATGAGAACATGGATTATATTACATTTCTCAATACTGCATTGATAACTAATAGTTTTATAGTGTGTACCAATTACGGAGATTATGGAGGTTTATGCTAGGAGTATCAAATGATAGTCTAACATTCTGATTTTAAAGTCACCATTCCATGAAAATATATGAGGTTACCTGGAATTTAAAGCATATGTTAGCAGTATGGCAATTATAAGTCTTTTATTTTGTATGATCTGAGCCAGCCTATGTGACAAGGAAAAAACTGGACCAGAAATAGGAGCAACAAAGCATGGCTATAACAGGATTGAGAGATAGGAGAGCCACTCATTTCCCTATGTCCGAACTCTTGAGAAAAGTAACAAATGGAGCTAAGTCCAATAGTTGCTGCTGATATGCCTTTCTTCTACCTGTTTTTTCCATTGAAAGATAGAAAAAAGAAAAGATTTCAGACAATACATGGCTGGATGCCAAGTACCCCATGATCATGCAGTCACCATTTGCAATTTCTTTTCTGGCTTCCTCAGAAAGTCAGTGGGGAAGCCAAGCAGGGAAAATTGCAAAGTGCTTGAATAAGCCTTTTTCATCCGCGCACCCTTCCCCAGCCACTCTGCATTTGCTTTGTTTCGGCCATATGTGCACCTCCATACATTTTCCCCAAGCTGCATCTCTCACGTACCCTCCATGACCCTCCACCGCACTTCTCATGCACACTCATGCACTTTCCCTGACCTGCATGATACCTCTTGTGCATCCTCTTCGAACCTCCCTGACTCACGCAGGTTCTCTACTCTAGTTCTCCCTTATGCATCCTCTCCAACTCATGCCCCTCACACTCTCTCTCTGACCTGTGTGTGCCTGTCATGCAACCTCCTTAATTCTCTCCCACATCCTCTCTTCTTTCTTCCCCCGTGTGGCAGCAGCCATTACCTTCCTGCCAGGTTGGAATTGACTGGTTGTGGGAAGTGGCAGGAAGTTGCCTTGCCTAATGATTATGGAATTCAATTCATGACAGTAATCAGAACTGTAAGGAGATTGTCATTGCTAAGTGACCACATTGCTTAGCATTGGAATTTCTGGTGCCAATTTCTGTCATAGGTCAAGGATTACCTGTTTTAAATGTCAGAGCTGCATCACTGCCTATGGAATTATTTGTTGAGCACTTTACATTGATACGCTTATTTATCTTCTGCTTACAATTGGAATCCTATTCAATATTCAATATATAATTAATAGAACCATGAAATGTCTTTTGATACTATGCTTTCATGTTTATGAGTTTTCCAGAGAATATTGTATATAAACCACCACAAAGAGGTATTACATGATTGGATCATCTTATTTGGGGCTTGTGAAATATAGGTAGCTAGATATTATTCTGTAACATTTCTGTAATCCTCTACTGGAGATTGAACTCGTGAATTTTTCCTTTCATGAGTTTTAGGATCATATACATTTTATTAGCTTCAAGAGATATCCAGATCCTGGTGCTCAGTGGTTGTAAAAGGTGATATCTAGAAATTATCAGAATGATATACAGTCTACCTTTAATATACAGTGCCATAAACCATTTAGTTCCACAGAATAAGCAAACACAAATATCACATAGGATGTACATTGTATGAAAATAGAGAAATTTTCCCATCCCCAAGAGGGGTGAAAGCCATGTGAAGCTCCTTACATAGGGACATGACATAATGTAACAATAGTCTCTCTGCTCTGAGTTTAAGACAGGGATGTCAAACTCAATTTCATTGAGGGCCACATCAGCACTGTGGTTGTCTCGGGGATCCGGGTGGTATGGCTGGGATGGGTGTGTCCTACTGGTGGGTGTGGCTGGGGTGGGCGTGGTCCATGGGGTGAGCGTGGCAGCTTGACATCACTTGCTTCAGGGGTGCCTGGGCAGGACTGGGGCAGATCTGAGGGTCTCTGGTGGAGGAGGATGGGACTGGGGCGAGCGCTGGGACATGGTCCTTCCCTCCCTTCCTCTGTTCCTTCCTTCCTTCCTTCCTTCCTTCCTTCCTTCCTTCCTTCCTTCCTTCCTTCCTTCCTTCCACCCTCCATTCCTTCCTCCCTCTGTTCCTTCCTTCTTCCCTCCCTCCCACCCTCCATTCCTTCCTCCCTGTTCCTTCCTTCCTCCCTCCCTTTTTCCCTCCCTCCCACCCTCCCTTGTTCCTTCCTTCACCTTCTCATCTTTTTCCTTCCCACACACTCAGGAAGGAAGGTTGGGGGGGAGAGATTGCCAGCACTAATATGCTGCTGCTGGCCATTCCTATACCATGTGGGTGGGCGGGGGCGGGGGCGGTCCCTTTGAAAGGGATGGTTCGTGGCTTCGAGGCTGGAGGTGTTGGTGGGGGAGTGGCGCTGATCTACAACCTGGTTGCGTCCATCAAAGCCAGAACGTGCTCAGCCTAAGATCCACTGGAACCAGCAAGGAGCTGCCCCGCCACCTCTGTCCTGCCCCTCGGGTGTGCGCACAGGAGACAGTCAGTGCCAGCATCCTGGTGAAATCAGCCTGTGAGACAAGACAACCAGCAGGGACGCTGGACTCCGCTTGCGCACGCACCCAGGGAGCGGTGCAGGGCTGCCCCATGGATTTAACGCTGAGCACGTTCTGGCTTTGAAGGACGCAACCAGGTTGTAGATCAGCGCCCGGCCAGCCTGGGCCGGGCCGAGTTGTGGCGGGCCGGTCCTTCCCTTTTTCCAGAGCAAGTCCCCAGGCCGGATGGAACCACGTAGCGGGCCACATCCGGCCTGGGGCCTTGTGTTTGACATATCTGATTTAAGGGAAGATGAACGCCACATATCATTGTGATGGTTTCCAGAAAATAAATGCTGTTGGGCATAATTTTTAGTAAATAAGTTGCATTATGGGTATGTGAGCTAAAACTTTAATATTGAAACAATGTATTTAGATAGCATTTAAATAATATCTCTAAAACTTTTTTTTCCTAGAATGTATGACAACATGTCCACAATGGTGTATCTAAAAGAAGACAAATTGGAAAAGCTCACTCAGGATGAGATTATTTCCAAGACTAAACAAGTGATTCAAGGCCTAGAAGCCTTGAAGAATGAGCACAATTCCATCTTACAGAGTTTACTTGAGACACTAAAATGTTTGAAGAAAGATGACGAGACCAATCTGGTGGAAGAAAAATCAAATATGATTCGAAAGTCTTTGGAAATGCTAGAATTGGGACTAAGTGAAGCTCAGGTAAATAAAATTCATAAAAATAGCTTTATTTAATCTCTGATATTCAAAATCAAGGTGGAAGGTTGGTATTTTAATTCAATAAATATGATTGTACATGATCAATATATAATTTGTCTCTGTGCTTTGGAGAAATCTGTGACTTCAGCACACATACTCTTTCAGTGCAGTTTTTACAATAATTTACACTCTGTTTTCATCTGCCTTTAGGACAGTCTTATTTGTTCCTTAGTATCAGGACAAACCCTAATATCACTAGGAGAATTTAAAAAAATGAATTGACATTCCTATGAAGGAAACTACTTTATTTTCTGATTTTATTAATTTACAATTTTATTTTGTTCTAGGTTCCCAACATTGCATCTAGTTTTTATTTTTTGTCATATCTTATTTGTCACTAATCAATATACAGTTTTACTTATACACACTTACATATACACAAACTCATGTTCCTAGAGTCTTGACATGTCTACTTCATATGGCAGTCTATTTTTCAAAGGATAGAAATTTAATATATTATTCTTAAAGTATTTTTATTAAATTCATCATTTTTATCACAAATGATTTATTTTTAATATCCTGCTTTATACACTGACCTCTGGTGAACATCATAAATACATTAATAATAAATGTCTTATAAATGTTTTAGATTTTAAGGCATTTTTATTCTTTTTAGATTTAATAATAATAATAGTAGGAAGGGACCTTGGAGGTCGTCTAGTCCAACCCTCTGCTCAGGCAGGAAACCCTATACCATTTCGGACAAATGGCTGTCCAGTCTCTTCTTAAAAACCTCCAGTTTTGGAGCATTCACCGCTTCTGGAGGCAGGTTGTTCCACTGGTTAATTGTTCTAACTGTCAGGAAGTTTCTCCTTAGTTCTAGGTTGCTTCTCTCCTTGCTTAGTTTCCACCCGTTACTTCTTGTCCTGCCTTCAGGCACCTTGGAAAATAGCTTGACACCCTCTTCTTTGTGGCAATCCCTGAGATATTGGAACACTGCTATCATGTCCCCCCTCGTCCTTCTCTTCATTAAACTATAAGGAACTAGCAGCCGTTCCTTATATGGTTTAGCCTCCAGTCCCCTAATTATCTTTGTTGCTCTTCTCTGTACTCTTTCTAGAGTCTCAACATCTTTTTTACATCGCGGTGACCAAAACTGGATGCAGTATTCCAAGTGTGGCCTTACCAAGGCATTGTGAAGTGGTATTAACATTTCACGTGATTTTGATTCTATCCCTCTATTAATGCAGCCTAGCACTGTGTTGGCCTTTTTGGCAGCTGCAGCACACTGCTGGCTCATATTTAGGTGATTGTCCACTAGGACTCCGAGGTCCCTCTCACAGTTACTACTATTGAGCAAGGTACCCCCTATAGTATATCTGTGCATTTGGTTTTTCTTGCCTAAATGTAGAACCTTACTTTTTTCATCATTGAATTTCATTTTGTTAGATAGCGCCCAGTGTTCAAGTCTGTCCAGATCCTTCTGTATCTTAAGCCTGTCTTCTGGAGTGTTGGCTATTCCTGCCAGCTTGGTGTCATCTGCAAATTTTATGAGTTCCCCATCTATCCCCTCGTCCAAATCGTTGATAAAGATATTGAACAGCACTGAGCCCAGAACAGAGCCCTGGGGCACCCCACTACACACTTCCCTCCCTGTAGGTTCCATTGAGGACACACACTGAGTACGGCCTGTCAGCCAGTTACGGATCCATCTGGTGGTGGTGCTGTCTACCCCACATAATATTTATGCTTTGTTTCCTATGTCATGGCTTTCCATGTTTTGTTTTTAATGAAGTCAGCTCTTTAATTTATTGGTTGGTGGCTATTGTCTGTCTGTCTGTCTGTTTCTCTCTCTCTAGTTATCTATCTATCACCTGTCTGTCTGTCTAATCAACATGTGTTTTCTCATTGTTTTACAAAATGTTTAACTGCTAGAATTCTGAATCAAAATTTTTTAACAATTTTTGGTGCATTCTAGGTGATGATGGCTTTGTCAAATCACTTAAATGCCGTAGAATCAGAGAAGCAGAAATTACGTGCCCAGGTTCGTAGGCTATGTCAAGAAAACCAGTGGCTAAGAGATGAACTTGCTAATACCCAGCAGAAATTACAAAAAAGTGAACAGTCTGTGGCTCAGCTGGAAGAAGAAAAGAAGCACCTTGAATTCATGAATCAGTTAAAAAAATATGATGATGATATATCACCTTCAGTAAGTAGCTTCAGATAAATTACATGATTTTCTTTAAATTCCTTTCTGTGAATGAATGTCACTCTGAAAATATTTATAATTTTTAAGGTAGATTTAATTTCTTTAATATCTGTAAGTATTGACAAAGACTGTATAATCTTTGTACATGACATGAATCTTGCTTATATATTGAATTCCAAAAAATGTGTAATTTTGTAATATTTTTATAATACAGCCTCTTTTGAGTCCAGTATTTACTTGACTTCGAGTTGGAAGCCAAAGGACAAATATATGGGACAGGCCAGAAATTAAGGAAGTACAGTTATATCTTTAAAACCAGTTAATTTCTACTTTCCCAAATGCACCTTCTAATCTAACTATGCTATATGTGCTATACATTTTATTGATTTGATTTGATTTTTATCTTACTATAATCGTAACAACTGTTGGTGGTTACATTTTCACAATAAAAAGAACAACAGAATTAAAACAACATACAATCCAAAGTAAAAAAAGAATTTATATTTTGATTCAGCATTTTAACAGTCTGAATATTCGGGATATATTTTAGGAGGACAAAGACGCAGATTCTGCCAAAGAGCCATTGGATGATTTATTCCCCAATGATGAAGATGACCAAGGACAAGGAAGTAAGTTATAATTACTAGACTTACCAGGCTATACCCTGAATCTGCCCTTCATTTCTGAAACTGAATCTTGTGTTAGTAAGCCTCGACCCAAAATTTGAAATTGCAGAGAACTTTTGGTTCCTTCCATCCACCCCCAGTTGTGTTGTCTAACAATTACTAGTGAATGGGTCCCTAACATTTCTTCTTTTTTCATGAGCTGAGCTACATTTTCAAAACCAGGTAATTTGAAGAGAAAAGCAGTATGAAAGTACTTTAACTTTGTTTACAGAACATGTCCAAAAAGATGTATTCTCAAACAGTAGCATGTCATATTGTTAAGCGTAATGTAATATTTTATAGGTAAAACATTAGTGTATATGCTACCAATGAAGGTCAATTCAACTATAGATGGTTGGTTGATTGGTTGGTTTATAATGAAATACTGTAGTTATAGTCAAGGCTACTTTAAATGGTATACAAAATCCAACAGCTGCAGCTATTGCCACAATATTAATATATCATACAGTAAAATATAAAATGATGGGTGAAATTGTAATGAACATACAGTGTACCTGCACTAAGAAATTTATAGCTGTCAAGTCCCAAAGTCCTTCTGGAACAATCAGATTTTTATGAGCTTCCAGGAGATTGGCAACTAACCTTGCCTCAGAATTTAATGGGCTTATTCTGATTATTTTATTTCCAGTTCAACAGCCACATAGCAGTGCAGCAGCAGCTGCCCAACAGGGTGGTTATGAGATTCCAGCAAGATTAAGGACCCTTCATAATCTTGTCATTCAGTATGCTTCCCAAGGTAGATATGAGGTTGCAGTACCACTTTGTAAGCAAGCTCTTGAAGACCTTGAAAAGACTTCAGGTCACGATCACCCTGATGTTGCCACTATGTTGAACATACTTGCATTAGTATACAGGTTAGTAAAGTTAAGAATATAGTTTTAAAAATATTGCATGTTTAGAATGCTACAGTGCAATGTTTTATTTATAAGACGGTTAAAAATATCCCCATTTAGTCAACACCCAAGCCCAGATGCTAACAGGAAAGGCCAGGTTTTTATAGTTTTACAAAATCTTAAGTGTGGGTAAATTGGTCTAGAGAGGCAGGGCCAGCACGTTTTCTCCCCAAGCTCCCAAGGAAAGGGGATTTGGAGTGTCTGCTTGTGGACTGATTCAACAGGACTGGCAAATTCTGCTTGGAGTAAATGATTCTGTAGGTTATCTCAATCAAAACTAGATTTATAGACCCATTCCATTAGTCTTCTATTTCCTTCTCTAGAGCTTTAAGAAAGCCAAACCATAATTAGGCTGATAACCAAGTAATCAATTCAGATGACAGTTTTAGTCACAGGATTTTATTTTATAATGTCACAATATTTCCAAAACTATGTGGCAGAGATCTGAACCCAGGAGGCCTGTCACTATGTTCCCATATGTAGACAGAATAGCTATCTACAACGTCATTAAACACTGTAATCTTATACAGTGTCAACCTATTTAGGACTAAGCCTCATTAAAATGAATAGGATTAGACACAGACTCTGCTATAATTAACATTTTGTCTTGTCAAACCCAGAAAAAGATTAGCTATATTCTTGCTATCCATCTTTTTCTATGTCCAGACTGCTCATTTCTTTGATAGTTAGCCAGTAACATTAGTTGATAGATAGTGATCCTTATTTGTGTCATTCTCCAGGCATCTAAACTAGAATGTCCAATTTCTTGTTTTAAAGTAATTTAGCCTAGGGCTGCTTGGGCTGCCTGGGCTCTGATGTGACAGAATCTGACATGTTCTCCCTTGAGATGTGTTCAGTTAACTAAACATTGAAAAAAAAGATGTCTTCCCACTTATTAGTAACCTACAAGATTTCTCTCTCCCCCCCCCCCATCACTAAATGAGCTATTCAACCTGGAAGCTAGAATTTTATATATATACAAGTCTTATCAAACCTATTATTCCAGGATATATTACGGTTAATTTTTAAAAAAATCCTCTTATTTTTGTAGGTTTCCACAAGGCTAAGTAATACATAGTATTATTTCAGCTACTGTATGTCTGGTAGTTAAAACCCAGGAACTGGATTCACTTTTGTTTTAGTATTGTCTTTACAAATGCTTATGGTGGTTCCACAAAATCCAATAGTAAAGGTTTAGCTTCATTGTTAGCTTCACTAACAGCTACATGAAATATGATGAAGTGAAGTGTTGAATATTTATATAATGTTTATATAAAGCATTTATAAATAGTGTATGTTAATGATTTCTTCCCAATTTAGGGACCAGAATAAATACAAAGATGCAGCAAATTTACTGAATGATGCCCTGGCCATTCGTGAAAAGACCTTAGGCAAAGATCATCCCGCGGTCTGTATATAGTGCAGATTTTTGTTTTTCTTATCACATATTCTGTTCCTTAAAATTCATTTTAATGTTAAACTTGAAAAGAAGGTTTTAAAGTGTATTGTTAAACATAATTAAAGTTAGAGAACCTTCAATTGTTTTGAATTTGTAATAACTGAATACAAATCTTTTTAGCTTTATTTATTTACTTTCTTGATATATGTATCAAGTGTACAATATGTTCCTCTGCTGAAAATGATATTGTCTATAATTGTATTTCTTGAAGTATACTAAAATACAAGTATGTGAGCTATTTAATTTAAAAATCATTTCAGCAGGTGTACTAGTTGATCTAGTGTTTGGTTTTTCTTGCAGGTTGCAGCAACTTTAAATAATCTTGCTGTACTTTATGGGAAAAGAGGAAAATACAAGGAAGCTGAACCTTTATGCAAGAGAGCTTTGGAAATCAGAGAAAAGGTAACATTTATTTAGCTTTGGGTAGTGTAGAAAAATAATTCCTAAAATTGTAATAATAATAACTTGCCACATATTTTTACCAAATAACACAATAATTAGAAATGAAGCCAGTAAAATTAGCTTAGAATATATTAAATAAATATTAATATAAACCAGAATACCATTATATTTAAAATATTGCCCTCAGTTATTTTTGTTGAAGCTATCTTACAATTATAATATTGGTAGTACAAGTAGTCCTTAACATACGACTGAAATGGAGCTGTCCATTATGTTTGTAAGTTATGACAGTCATAAAGTGGGTCATCCACATGACTGATCAGATTTTGCAATCTTTTTTGTAATGCTTGTTAAGTAAACACTGTGGTTGTTAAATGAATCAACTATTTCCTATGGTCCAGTTTTGCCGAAAACCAGAAGTAATTACCAATTTGGGTAAAAGTGTCTTAAACTATGGTTATGTGACTGCAGGATTCTGCATACTGCCATGTAGGCCAATTCCCAAGTTATGTAATAGGGGGTGGGTGGCGGGCGGCTGTTGGAATTTCAGAGCTGGATTGTAGGTATCTTGGAGAGGTCCATCAGAATTTAAAAGTTGCTAAGCAGCCAGTGGTACATTGAGGACTACTTATATGCATGCAGACTAAAGAAGAAAACTATGTATGCAGTTAGGATTTTTGTTGTTATAAATATTTGGTGTAATATGGATATAAGGCAGTTTGTTAAGCAGTGATGGCGAATCTTTTAGAGATCAAGTGCCCAAACTGCAACCCAAAACTCATATATTGTCAGGTGCCGGGTGGGCGTGGCCCATTGGGTGGGTGTGGCTGCGGTGGTAACAGCAGACTGGGTGCGACTAAAAAGTTCAATCAATCAATTCCAACTTTGTGAGATTTTTTTTTTCCTGCAAGAATTTGAAATTGATTGATTGATTGAATCTTTTTTTTTTGCACACGGCGGCGGAGGCTTAAAGCGGAAAGCTTTTATAAAACTCAGCTGAAGGACTAGGCGAGGGCGTGCATGCCCACAGAGAGGGCTCTGCGTGCCACCTGTGGCATGCGTGCCCTAGGTTCGCCACCACAGTTATAGAACATTAAAATATTTGTAATAGGACAGGAACAGTTGTTAACAAGGAAGATTGTATAAACTTTTTTTGCAAGTAGTTTTATAAGATAATCTGCATACCAAAAAAACCCCAGTGAAAGCATTAGCACATGCTGCAGGGGGGAAAAAGAGCTAAAACATTTTTTAAAAATAGTTGTTACATGAATGAATATTTTTTCATTCACAGAATTTCTAATTTAAAAAGAAAAAGATTGGGAAGTGTTTCCACTTTGCTAGCTAAAATCTGAGAGCATGAGAGCAAAAGGGTATTCTGAAGAAAGCAGTAAGAATGCCATGATGGACGCTGGGAAGTTGAGCAATAGGGGACAAAGATAATTTCCTACAGGGCTTTTTCTATCAACATGATGGAATAAAAAAATTAATGAAGTTGGAGAGGTATAAATAAATGAAAAGAAAGTCTGAAGAAATAATATGAAATTATACAATCAGGGATTTTCAATATTTTATATGTGTGTGTGGTAGATTTAAATTAATATGATTGGCATATCACAACAAAATAATTGCCCAGTCTTTTGTTTACTGAAAATACTCTAGATTAAACCCTTCAGAGACTACAGGTAGTCCTTGACTTAAAATAGTTCATTTAGTGACTGTTCAAAGTTACAACAATACTGAAAAAAGTGACTTATGACTGTTTTCAACCGTTGCAGCATTCCCATTTGATGGCATTGTCATGTGATCAAAATTCAGACGCTTGGCAACTGACTCATATTTATGATGGTTGCAGTAGCCTGGGGTCACGTGATTATCTTTTGTAAGCTTCTGACAAGCAAAGTCAATGGGGGAAGCCATATTCACTTAACTGTGTTACTAACTTAACAACTGCAGTGATTCACTTAACAGCTGTGGTAAGAAAGGTCATAAAATAGGGCAAAATTCATTTAACAACTATTTCAATTGTGATCATAGGTCAAGGACTACATGTAGTTATTAACTTTTAAATAACTCTTGTGTTCTACGAAAGATTGTATTCCCCAAACAACCCATAATTGTGCTAGAAAATTTGCTTTGGCCTTCCAATATGTTTTTGTAAATAGAATCAATGGAAGAAGCATTCATGGTACTTTCTTTTCTTATCCAAAACGTCAGCCTTACCAGGTAGACCAGACAGGAAATATGACCGTAATTCTACTTTATCGTAAAGCTACATTAATAGAATCTTGCAAACCTGAAAGTAAAAATCTGCTGTTTCCTTTACAACCAAGAACCTAGGGAGGGGCCTTATGAGCCTCTTGCTCTGGCCCACTATACAGCTGAGAGCTATGCCCTCTCTTATTTGATTATTCCCATGCAGCTTTTCTTCACCCCATCTCCAAAGGTCTTTCCCACATACCGTTATATAAAACTTCCAAGTAAAGGCACTGCTTATTAGAGCTGTCCACACTTGTTTAACTCTAAGCAATTCTGTAAAGCAGGCATGTCAAACTTGCGACATCACATGACGTCGCGCAACGTATTGGATCTTTTTCTCCATTGCCGGCAGTTGTGGGCGCAGTTTTGGGATGACGTGTCTGGCCTGCAGGCTGGCAGTTTGACACCCCTGCTGTAAAGTTATACCTGAAAACTTTAAAGCATTTTAACAAGAAAATCATAAATCATTAACATCTGCATTGCATGTAAATAAATCCTGCTAATGTTGATTGACAAATTTTGGGCTTGGGATATAATTAAGTGGTTAATTTCAGAGAAAGATAGTTTGCAATATTTTTATATTAAAGTTCTCATTTATAATATTAAAAATAAAATTCATTGTAATAAATTTATTATAAGAATATAAGAAATATAAGAAAAATTAGAGAAGTGAATGTGATAGCAATAATTCAATCAGCCATTAATTGATAAAAAATTAATATACGTAGATCCGCTGATGAAAGAGTATAAAGATTATCTCCATACTTCAATCAAATGGATGTTAACTGTATCTGAGAAAGAAAAGTGTTAATGTGAAATTCCTCTTTATTTTTAGGTGCTGGGAAAAGACCATCCAGATGTTGCCAAACAGTTAAATAATCTGGCATTACTATGTCAGAATCAGGGGAAATATGAAGAAGTAGAATACTACTATCAACGAGCACTTGAGATCTACCAAACAAAACTGGGGCCAGATGATCCAAATGTAGCGAAAACAAAGAATAATTTGGTATGTTTGTATAGGAGAATAAAAAGCAAAAAAGCAACCCATCGTAGTTCTCCCTTGCTGAATATCTGAAACTGGTTTCAGAATACTGTGTCTTAGCTGCTGGTTCGGCCTACAAATGCTTACACAAGTGATAATACTGACATTTAAATTTAAAATATGCTAAAGTAATGGTTTCTCTCTTCAGGCATCCTGCTATTTGAAACAAGGGAAATTTAAGCAAGCAGAAACTTTGTACAAAGAGATTCTTACTCGTGCCCATGAAAAAGAATTTGGCTCCGTGGATGGTAAATGTTTATATTATGAAAAAATGTTAGACATGCAGATTTTTTCCCCCAAATGATATGGTATATGGCATGTTACATATTTAAAAATAATACAAATTTTAGACATTCTTATATTAAAAGTGTTTATTTCTATGTTAGTTCTGCAGATCTGACCACAGTTATTTTTTTCAAGTGATACATATTTCAAATTGTACTTAAATGGAGGCATACCCATTTAAGCAGATTTCTCTCCCCTCCCCCCCCCGATATATTACTAAAACTCTCATGCCTGCAACCATTAACTGGGCATAACAGTGCACCATAGAGCAAACATTTTTCAACCACGATATTTCAAATAGGCTAACTTACAGAATGCGTTCAAAATCCAGGAGCCATGACTCTTGTTGAACTGAAATTTGGCTAATTTTATAAAACATTTTATGTCTTATTTTATTTGTATTATAAAACATAATATAAAATGTCTTAAAACATTTTCCATGGTCAATTCAAATTTGACTGTGCTATAGAGTTCAACATGGGCTACTTTTGAGACAGGTACATTTCTGAATAACTTCCTAGTACATTAGAAGCCCTGCTATTGTTGAATGCATTGAGGAATCTAGTAAAGAAATAGCTCTAAAACTCAGGAGATCACGGGTTGTTTCAGTGCATAATAAATAAGGGATGGAAGAAGCATTTTTAAAAGCAAAACATTCAAATGACATTGGTTACAGTTATCTGTCTGCTTTTAGGCCTCTTTTCATAAGTAATAGAATTCTGCACAGTGTCGTAAAATATAGTAATAAAAATAAGTCAGCTGAATGTTGTTTCACACAAAAATACAGATTGTATATAGTAATTTCAGTATAGTGGCTTCATTGCACTAAATCGGTTATGTCAACAAGGATGCATAAGTTGTCAGAAATACTGTGATAAATGAAAAACTTCATATGCTTTAGCAGGCAGTAGTGTTCTCTCAACCTGCTATTTTTTTTTTAATTCATAATACAATTAAAACAACAATGGACAAACATGACATTCCAGAATGAATTTTCCTATCAGTTCCTATCATGGTACAAAAGTTTGATACATCGTTCTTAACCTCTATATAAGCCTCATCTTCTATACAATACAATTATATATACAATTATATGTACAGTTATATATATCTTTTAATTCTACCATTAACTTGAAGTCCGAGCAGTTCTTAATTCATACCAACGGTAAAATTTGCCCCAGATTTCGAAGTATTCGTGTTCTGTCTTGTCTTTCATAATCATTGTAAGCCTGTCCATCTCAGCACATGATAAAATTTTATGCAGGATCTCTTCTTCTGTTGGGGTTCCCTTATTCCTCCAATTTTGAGGAAAAACCAGTCTGGAAGCCGTTAAAATGTGTAGCATTAAATAAAGTACGCCTTTGTCATGCTTTTGCGTAGTTAAACCTAATAGAAAGAGTTCTGGTTTTGGTTCTACCACTTGCTCTAATATTTCTTCCAACCATACTTTAATCCTGTTCCAAAAATCACGAGCTCACGTGCATTCCCACCACATATGATAGTAAGTTCCACTTGTCAAATTACATTTCCAACATTTAGGGGAGACGTTGGTACACATTTTAGCCAATCTTGTGGGTGGGAGATGCCATCTATAAAACATTTTGTAAAGGTTCTCTTTGTAAGAGGTGGCCAAAGTAAGCTTCTTGTTTCTTGCCCATAGTTCTTGCCAGATGTGCAGATCAAAATTAAGACCAAAGTCCTTGCTCCAATTCAACATAGTCACTTTTACTTGTTCCTCGTACATTGCCTGATCTAACAAATAGTAGTATAATTTTTTAATCATTTTATCCTCCGACCCCAATATTATTTTATCCAATTCTATTGGTTCTAATTTAATGCCTAACTCTTTTTTGTCTTTCTGATATCTCGTCTGCAGTTGCAGGTATGCCCACCATTCTAATTCTATCCCTTCATCCTGGAGCGTTTTCCTGGATTTCAATTCCCCTCTTTCATCTAAGATATTTTTATATGTTATGGTCTTGTCTAATTGGGTAAATTTTCTCTCAACCTGCTATTTGAAGGCCGATTGAGATCAAAGCTACTTTAAATAGAACAATTTGGAGTTTTAGGTCTTTTTTCCACAGCTTCTAGTAAGCTAGATGCATTTTGACACAGTGGGATAAGACAACTTTCTGTGGCATTCACCTTATTTTTAAAAAATTAGAATCTTTACAATAATAGAAGTACAAGTTACAAGTTAATGCTGACTAAGATGTTTTAGAAACTAGCAGAGTCTAGGATAGATTTTTCTATATACCGTAAATGCCGGCGTACAAGGCGACCCGGCGTATAAGACGACCCCCGTCTTTATAGCCGGGCCGCATTCCTAGAACGTCGTCTTATACGCCGGAAACTACCAGTATTTCCGGCGTATAAGACGACTTGGCGTATAAGACGACCCCCGTCTTTGGCGCTGATTTCAGCGTTCGCGGAAGTCGCCTTATACGCCGGCATTTACGGTATTTATAAAATGTTTCCTTAACCATTATTCTGGAATGTGTGGTAATTTTATTTCACAATTCAATATTTTACTCTTATATAGATGAAAACAAACCGATCTGGATGCATGCTGAGGAGAGAGAAGAATGCAAAGTAAGGAATTAAAGAACAGAAATGTATTTATAAGTAAATACGTTGTTGTTTATTTGTATTCCACTTTTCTGCTCCTTAATATATTATTCTCACTTCAGGGAAAACAAAAAGATGGCACTACATTTGGTGAATACGGAGGCTGGTACAAAGCTTGCAAAGTTGACAGGTAGGTATATTCTCCCCAAAACATTTCTAGCATTTGGCTTTCTTCAAAACATTGTAGGGGATGTATAAGAAAATGATCATTTTATCAAAGCTACAGGTAGTCTTGAGATACCCCTGTAATGAAGGTTGCCCATTATGGTTGCAAGTAGTGATGACTGTTAAGCGAGGCAGCCTTGCTTAATGACTCCCCCACAGAGTGTTGCTCTGCCAAGGGTTTGATTGATTCAGCTAATGGATTTACTATAGGGATTTTGTGGCCTAAAGTGATTATGCCAGACAAGCACCATAGCCACTGTGCCTTGAGAGAAGGAGAATCAAAGGGAGTAGCACTTCGTATATTTGTGTTATTGCTATTGCTCTTTATTTCTAATAATTCCTATTTTTAATATTGATATGGCATTGAACTTGTAAAATGTTATTAAGGGGTGGTTTTACTTCATTTACTGGAATAAAAATGTTCACACTTGCTGTAAGAGCAAAGAATGATAAATCAATGCAGAGTATTATATATCAGATATTTTTATGCAGTTTTTCTTTTTTAAAAAAAACTGAACTAAGTTGATAAATGAAAATTGATAATACAATTTGTATATTTTAAAGCTATTGCTTTAGAACTAGTGTAACTATAAAATGGATTAAAATAACTATGAAAACAGTTTATGCCCTTTGCAAGTATGTTATTCAAAATCACTTATAATATTAAAACTGATTTCTGCATAGACATTTCCATAGCAAACAAGTATTTAAATTCAATGCAGTTAGGAAGTAAATGCCCATTACTTTATTAATTAGGCTTAAGATGAGCATTGGCTTTTAATCTTCCACTGCAATCTTAAGCAGGATTGCTGAAACGACAGGTAGTTGTGGACTGCTGTCAGAAAATAATTTTGATTTTTAATTAACAGTCCAACAGTTACAACTACTTTAAAGAATCTTGGAGCACTTTACAGACGTCAAGGCAAATTTGAGGCTGCTGAAACACTGGAAGAGGCAGCAATGAGGTCCCGTAAACAGGCGAGTACTATAACACAAAAAGGGTTTTCAAAATGTTTAAAGTGTTTAAATTTTTGATATTACATAATCATTATTTTAGAGCAGAACAAATATAAATTTAGAAACAACGGATGATATGTATTCCTCTATTGCATGAAATATTAAAAAGGCTGCCATAAACAGGCCAAACCAACAGGTTCAAGGATATCTTTGCAGCAAAATGCACCACTGACTACATCAGAAAATAACAATTCCAAGCGCTCTTAAAAGTCATTGACCCCAAGCCTTTGCCCAGTACAAGAATCTACTGCTAGCATCTTTGACAAATGACCATTCAGTATCAATCTAAGCACCTCTGTTTAATCAGTGACGCATAGGATCACAGTTTGCATACATAAGAGCTTAGCAGGCTGACCATAAAGGAGTCCTTATTACATTTTTAAATGAATACCAGTCTCCAAATCAATAAACAAAGATCACTAGAGAATGGAGCAGTGCATAGAAAACAAGGACAAATGATCAGCACCGAAGTAAAAAACTTGCAAGAGCTATCCAGAAAACTTACTTTTCAGATGCATCCAGAAAGAAACAGCAACAAATCAAGGTGATCTGCATAGATTTGGGAGACAAATTTGAACTATGTTGATAATGGTTAGCTTTATTCAGCTATTGCCCTTTTGTCTTGTTGATTATGGAGGTTTCAAACTATCTTTGAAAAAGACAGTTACTGCATACAGAAAGGTATCCTGTATTTCAGCATTGACAAGAAAGAACCAAAAACGTGTATGGAATGCACACACACCTAACCAGCAAAACAGACAGACAATTCATGGCATGATGATTTTGGCTGGGGAAGAATGGGCCTCCAGCCTGAGCACCAGTTTCATACTCTGTACACTGTTGCTTGTTCTTTGAGTACATGATGCCTCAGCACAAGCACAACCTGTTTGTGACCCATTTGGGTTAGGGCCTGGAGTCCAGCAACACTGTTACTGGCCATACATGTTTAAGATAGGCCATGTGGATGAATCCTGTTCTAATGTATATTCTGCATGGACTAGGCAAGCCCATGTGGACTCTGTTGAAGTATAATACTTATTTAGTGACTGCTTAGAGACTGAGGACTCCTGGGTGAGCCATTCAGTGTGATTGAAAGAGACACAACCAAATCTCTGCTCCAGTGTCAAGTCCTAACAAGTTGAACAAGATCAAGGAAGCGATTTTAGTAAAGGATATTTAGTACTACTCTGGGGATAAATATAGAATCTTGGAAACTATAGAAGGATTTTCTTATCTTCATTTATTGTGAGTTTTAGGCGGAGTTTCTGAATGATTTGATTTGAAAAGCTACTCGCTGATGTTTGTTTTGTCTTTCTTTGTTGTAATAGGGACTTGACAATGTTCACAAACAAAAAGTTGCTGAAGTACTTAATGATCCAGAAAGTATAGAGAGAAGGCAAAGCCGTGAGAGCCTTAATATTGATGTGGTAAAGTATGAGAGTGGACCTGATGGAGGAGAGGAAGTGAGTATGAGCTTAGAATGGAATGGGGTGAGTACAGTACACAGTGCAGTCAAGTTTTTATTCTGTTGGTGTTATAAAATATTCTTGATTTATATTTATCTGCAGATTTGAGTAAAAGAAAAATCCTGCTTTTTATATTTTAAAATTAATCGGATAATACTCAAATGGGGGAAATCTAGGAATTAATATTTGGATCTTGCTGTGCGTGCTTGAATGCTGATTGAATGTCCTAGTTAATATAGAGCCTAAATCAAGCTAATGGTTGTTTTTTTTTAGTGGAAGCAAAGTATGACAGTCACATGCTTGTGTTCTTTACTACTTAAAAAGTTTGCTGATTCAGGAAACAAACACTGCTGTAAACTCAGATGGAATGATATAAAAGAAAAAAATCCTTTGTGAAAACAAAGTGAAAAGAACTTGTGCATAAATGAAATCCACTTTTTTTCCATATAGGTAGTCCTCATTTAACAAATATTCATTCATGGTGCTAAATAACTGGTTTTGTCATGTGATTAAAATTTGGATGCTTGGCAACTTGGCTGTACTTATGATTGCATAGGTTCTTCAACTCCTTTCACTTTCCCATCCCCCAATCCGTTATTTGTCTTTTTGGTCATTTTGTACAATAGACTCTTTGATGGTGGCGGCACCGGTGATGGTGGTGATAGTGGTGGTACTAAAATAGGCCCAGCCAGCCACACCCAGGTCTACTTATGCCATTCCTCAGATAGGACTCACGGTTGCCTAAATTATGCACACCATTCTTATAATGCTTCGGAAGGCCTCGGAATATTTCTGAAGTATTGTGAGATTTAGAGAATGACCTTCAGGAACAAGTTCTGGCATAGTCAGCAGCTGCCTCACATACAGCCAGGTTGGGCATGCCTCATCAGCGGGAAGAAGACGGTAAAGATCAGCTGGGTGTGGTAGGACTTGCAGAGTGCAGGGCAGTGGTGATGACTGGGACTTTGTGCTGTGGCTCTAGTTGGCTTCAGGGTGGGCTCTACGTCGCGGGTGGTGCTGAGATTGAAGAACGGTTCCAGGGGGCAGTGATGGCTGGCTAAGACTGCTGAAGGCCTTGGGCCTCTTATTTCAGCCCCACTGTTGTTGCTGCCCCCGCCAAGGACTACTGCTGTGCAAAGTGGCCAAAGGCAGAGATGGAAAGGAGATAGGAAGGTGGGAGTGCTGAAGAGGAGACTCCCTTAACTTACCAGGGCTCAGGACAGGGAGGGATCAAGCCAGGAATGGCTTGGATGTAAATGGGTCCTTGCTTATTCACCAGTGGGATTAAATTAACAACTGCAGTGAAGACTGCCAGGATTGCAATTGCTAAGTGATGTGGTCACTTAGCATTGTACTTTACAATTGCATCTCTTAATGACAGAAATTCCAGTCCCAATTAACCATCGTAAGTCTAAGACCACCTATATGCTGTGAGCTGGCTGCAGAATCTACTCTGTATTCAACATTTCTGAAAGTTCATGGCACTAGAAATGCAAAAATAAAATCTGACTCTTACAGCTAGCTAAATTACTGCTTCCAAACATCAAGGAAGTCTGTTGTATTTTTAGAAAAAACTTTTTGTTATTTCATGCCATCTGCTTCCATTGGGTAATGCACAAAGTGTGCCATAAAATTAAAACAAAACGCACTTTCTAAAGCCAGTATTGATTGAACCTGTTTTTCTATTTGTCTGATAACTTTATCATTGTTATAATGATTCTTGCTTATTGTAGCAGCAGATAGTTTTCTAGCTTTGATTTGTAGCTGAATACCCTGAGCAGATACAATTATTATTCACGATAAGCGCATCATAATAATTTTGTTTTTATAATACATTGGAAACCAATAGCAATTCATCTTGCATTTGGAAGTATAGATTAGTTTCAATACTGGGATATTTTTTGGAGATGTCGTCTATTGCTCTAAAATCTTGCCTGAATTTTAGAGGTTGTGTGGTTCTACAGTATTTTGTTCCTTTCTTCTTCGACTTTTTCCCCGCTCGTCTTTGACTTTTCTTTGACTTTCTTTCTGATTTAGTATTAACAGTGCTAAGACAGTCAATCAGCATATAATAGAAACACCATTACCTTATTACTCTTTAATTTATCCTGTTGGAATTAGAACTGTGTACTGTACTCTTCCCTGATTTTTTTTTTCTCTGCTTGGCATGCCTTCAGTTTTCAAGTGCAGGAAGATGCATTTTTTTCCATGTGTTTTACTTTTTATTAAGATATATGCAGATTTGCAATTGATAACGCATTCAAAGAAATAAACAGTATTTCTTGGTCACAAATAGTCCATATTTTAAAATATTCTGATCAATAAATGACTTTCTTTAAAATGGAAATATTTGCTTTGAATAATATGTGGTCTTTGGGGTTGAGTAAACTAGATTTAAATCATGTCAAAAGCAGCTGTAATTTAAACACAAATTACAGCAGCTGTAATTTAAACACACATCATATTCTTATAAAACACTACTGAATTTGAGATTCTTCTCTAAGAATATTAATCATTTTGTATTGTTTAAAATGTTATCTTTGCCTGAAAAGTCATCTTTAAAATAATCCTAGCAGTTTGTGATATTGAAATAATTATTTGGACAGAAATTTAATACAATAGGGATTTTCAGCCTCTCTCTTTTACATTCCCAACTCATTTTAATATCTCACTAAACCTCTTCAAAGGGACTTTGTCTTTTTTAAAAATAATTTTATGAAAAGTTTTAATTACAATAATAAAAGATAATGCAAACTAAGAATGAAAAAAAGTGCAAGAAAACAAAATAGAAAGAAAAAATAGAGAAAGAAAAAGGACCTTTCCACTGTCATCACAAATATAAACAATATCACTATTTCTTCAGCTCCTTAATTAATACATATAAAGCTCTTCTCCCATATTTCATCTCTTAACTATAGGCAAATAAGTAAATAATGTCTTCTCCGATCCAGGTGTCAGCAAAAAGTCCTAAAATAATAACATTAATTAAGAGATGTAAAACTCAGTATTCAACATCTCAACCCTTCACCATAAACAAATGCACATTTAGAAGTCACAAAGCGGTCCCAATATTTTAGCTCAAACAAAAGACTAAAATTTAACATTAGAAAGTGGGGCAACTATAGCGAAAAAGGTATAACTCAGTGTTAACTGAAAGCAAATCAGTACAAAATATTTTTCATTACAGAAGTCAGCAAATCCAAAAAGAAAATGCAAAATAATAGCATGTCCGATTTTAACCCTGATCAAATAAACTGACTTTGCGTTCCTTTTTACATAAAACAATCTTTAATCCATTCAAATAATTGTTGATCCTTGTTTTGAATTTCTTCAAACAGCCTCTTTTTTAAGTACAACAAAAATAAATAATTCTAATTGCTCTCTGCGATTTTTTTATTTCATTTTTATTTATTTCTTAATTTTTAAAGCCTCATCCATTTACAGATTGTTCCCAACAAAACACAGTATTTGTATATTGCAATTTGTGGCTGCAAAACTCTTGCCATTTCTTCTACTTTTTAATTTAAAGGACTGGAGGCTTGCCTCTTTTGGGAAAGCTGGGCAGTCTGCATCCATTGCCTTGCTACTTTAACAGTATAATGAAGTTTTAGGAATATTAATGCATTTATTAGGAGCACATTTATTCCCATTGGTATTGTTCATAGTATCTAAAGGTTAAATTATTCTACCTTATTCTGATTTTTTCTTTTTGAGGTTTTTTTTGTTCCTTTGGCTATGTGCTTTTTTAAATGGAAATTCGTTGCCTATAAAATCTATATGTTCTCAATTATATTATAATCACAGAATGATGAATACTAAGAGTTTTGCAACAGAAGATAAAGGCCTGCCTAAAGGCTTTTATTTTCATTTTTAAAATATTAGATTTTTTTCATCTCTGCTAAGCATTTATACACAGCAATTCACATAATTATGTGACCTAGAAATACTGTTAACAAGTATTAACAAGCTTGAAACTGAAAACTGTTGAACTTCCTCCACAACAGTTTCATCCAGCTTTTTCTCTCTCCATTTCTGTCCGACAGGCCTAGATGCCTTTTCTGACTCTAATACTGTCTCCTGCATGACGGGCGTACACCATCTTCAAGCTCTAACTTCTCTCCACTACTGACTGCTGTGAATTTAGCAATCCCTTAAGATATTTGTCACAGCTATACTTCCTGTAAAAATGGCCACTTCTTCAGTGCTGGTGTCTCTTTCATTTGGGGCAGGGGATCTTTTTCTCTTGTATATGTGTCGCTTTGCCAGATATGTAGTCTTCTAGAATGTAGTCTTAATAACCATTTGCTGTGTAACAGATGAGTTAACAAAACTAAGAATGAAAATTCATAAGTAGATGTTTCACTATAATGAAAAATAGTTTAAGCTATTACACAAGAAATTAAAATGGCATGAAGGTTACTTTGACAGAGTAATTAGTTAAAAAACACTCAGAATGTAAGGCACATGCTTATATTGTATTTAGACTTATAACAGGGTTTAACATCAATATAGATGTCTTGACTTAATGCTTATTCAAAAGTAGCAGTGCTGTTTAGTATTCATGTGAAAATGCAATTATGCTTTTCTCTACTAATCTTGGTGATGGGTAACTTTGTGTATTTGTCTAATAAACTCAGTCCAACTGACGTCTGTCTCTGTCTTCTGCGTACTACTTTCTGAGCTTTTGTATATGGAAAGATTTAATTTCCAAAACAGCAAGGTATTAGTAACTTGAAGTAAAGCATAAACAAGTTACTTAGAGAATAAAGTTAACAAATATTTCACCATGTAAATTGGTCTTCTGGAAAGTGAACTAAAATACCACCAAATATATTATTGTAAAATTATGGACTTGCATCTTAACTTTTTAGAATACTGTTAAGGTTAAAGTGCAAGAACTTAAAAATGTTTTTGCTATCATATGCTTCTGTTCTTAATATCTGCTTGCTATGTATGAGCCAAATGAGATTGAGCCTCAATAAAATCTTGCTCACTCAGCTGTTACTATAATGCTACTGCTTGGTGGTGGACTTTTGTTGTATTCTTATTACTGCATCATGGTTTGCATGGACTGCAGTATAGAAATGTTGGCTATTGTGCAAGGAACTGCCTTTACCTATACTGTTTTAATACATGTTCATTTAATTTAAGTGGAAATGAGCAATTAAGTGTTCAGATAATTAAATCATTTTATCTTATTAAAATTATCTACCAAAACTTGCTTCATTGAAATGTATGAGAATTATAATTCTTGGTTAACTTGTCATCATGGTGAACTCTTTAAAGTGATGCACCCCTGACAGATAATATGCTCTGTGCTTATTTTAATCTGCTCATCTCAGAACCATTATCACAGAATCTTAGAATTAAGGGTTCAAAGTGATATTGTTATCTGTTAAGAATAACTTTTTATTAAATTTTGTTTGAAATTGAGATACTTGCTTATAACTTTAGTGACAGCAGAACATAACCAACTGGTGTTTAATTGTGATCGCTAAACTCTGACAAAGGATGAATGATTCGGTGGTTTTAAACATGCTCATTTTTTTCAGGATGGCAGTGGATCATTAAAACGCAGTGGTTCCTTTAGCAAACTTCGTGCTTCAATTAGACGCAGCAGCGAGAAGCTGGTTAGAAAACTGAAGGGAGGAAGTTCACGAGAAAGTCCTGGGTAATTATTTCTAGATGTGTTGCAACACATGGGAATTGAATTATGCCTAAACCTATCCTGCTGTGTAATGGGTTTATCTGTTGTGAGAATACACAAGTTTAATCAGGAAGCAGTTCTCACAAAAATGCAGTACATAGGATGTTCTGGAAAGTTGGTTTTAAACAGTTGTAAAAAGTTTGCTCTTAATTTGATTGTAAACAGTATTATGGCTTTGTAAAAATTTTGATATTATATAAATGACTAGTTCAAGAATTGACTGCTCTGTCTTCCCACATAGAATGACTAATGCATTTGGCTGGAATTTCAGCAGGTTCTCCTTAATAAAATATGAGCCTTTAATTTATTCTGAAAGAGTTATTAAGATTTAATTGGTACATGAGAAATTGACACATGTATATATAATATTTAATCAAACTAGATTATTGAAACTGTACTGATCTATTTAATTGGGTACTTGTTTACATTTATTAAACATGTAAACATGTAATATTTTTTTTCAGTTCTCCTATATTAATAAAAGCTGTTTTATCTACTTTGTCTAGAATTCCTGTGAATAAACTATTGTTATATTAAAATGGACTGAAATTCTTTATCCAGTCCGTGTAATGCATAAAAGATATACTTGCGACCAATATCATCATTTTGAAATCTATGCTCATTCTTCCTTATGGATCATATGGTTTGATTTATTTATTTTTTTTGTAAAAAGCATGAATAACTTCGCAATCTAAATATACAGAGACATGTTATTGGAATGTGTGTGTGTGTGTGTTTGTATGTATGTAGAGAGAGAGGGAGTGAGAAAGAGATTGAGTTGTTTTCAGGTCTAAGGAAATAAACTTACAGATTTTATTACATGAAAGTATTATTAACTGTTACAAGAAGTTACGCAATGCTATTTTCAATAAGAACAATGGAGACAATCCTTGTCGGAAATATAGAAACCAATCTTTATTTCTAACTATGGTGCTTTGAAAAACAGGTAACAGTAATAAAGGAAAGGAAAGCCTTTCTTTTAATAAGAATCTAGATTAGAGGTGATTCTTTTTTGCTACTTTGCTACTTTTTTGCTGCTTGTGATTATTATTTGGCTTTGACTATAACCATAAGGGCCTTCATCCCATAACCTTTTCTATTTCTGTCACTTTCTAGTTTGGAATATTTCAGTATTTAGGTTATTGAAAAGACAATTAAACTTTTTTGGGATACTTTTTCTCTGAACTACTGGATTTTCAGTCAATAAATAATAGCAAAATATTTCCAAAGCCACTTACTTCTTTCCTTAAAATATACTTAAATGTGCCTTCTGTTTCTTTTAAGCACATCTTGCCTTGTAAAACCAGCCTTTTCTCTTTGAAAACAACTTAAAAAATTGTATACATTTTGCAGGTCTTTTATATTGCTTTAAAATTTTGCATTAGCATATTCTTTCATCACTTTTAAAGAAAGTTTGTTTTACAGATAAAATACTTAATTACTTTCATTGCTTCCCAAAGAGCAACCCACTTTGTTCTGAAAATATACATTCTATAAAATATTGTTAAATAACAATATTATTTAAGTGCCCTTATTTTCATTAAGCGCTATTTCTATTAATTTGATAAATAAATCTATACTAATAAATCTACACAAGTGAAAAACGTATCAGTTTTTGAATAGTATTGGATATGGTGAGAAGGAAACAAATGAAGATTTGGTATTACTTTATAAAGTTCCATACTCAATTTTGAAAGAGAATTTCAATTTTCCTTTTTTAAGAAAAAGAAAAGTTTAGTGACTGAATTATCATTCATTTGTCCCACATGGAATTGCCTTTATAATATTTCAGAGTTTGTTTACCTGATCAAAAAACAATACTGGGGTACAAATACAATGTTATTTTTTAAAAAATTTCTTACAATTGAAGTAGTATCCTTCTAAATTCACAATTATTGTTGTTTTAATTGCTTGTTTTATTTTTATTCTAATCCAAGCTACAATATTTTCCCATCTCATTTATTCTAACTTTTCTTCCTTTTTTTGCAATTCCGTCAGAAGAATTGCAGTGTTTCCCTCTTTTAAATTAAAAAAAAAACTGGTTTTCCTTTTTGAACCATTGTTTTTATTTTTTTCCAAGATGGTTGTTTGCTTTCAAACCTTCCAATCTGTCCTAATTCAGTAAATCACAGTAAATGGGAGCACTCAACAAAACTTACCTGATCTCAGAAAAGTTAAGGATGGTCAGAACTTGTTAGTATTTGGATGGGAATTTATTAGGAAATTCCAAGAATTTAAATTCTGTACTATACCAAAAAAAAAAACACCCCACAACCGAACCCTACCTGCATATGTCCAGATAATTACCAGAACATGAGCTTTGAAGGAGTTTTTGCATTCAGAAAAAAATCTTAGGTAGCTACATTGTTTATTATCCAGTGTGAAACTTGGAAGTCTTACATTCTGAGTTAATTAACTTTACTTTGCCGTAATTAAGTTGGCACTGCTGGAGTTCTTTATAAAAAATTAAATTCTGATATTCAAACTGTCACTGTTGATAATAATATATCTTCTCTTCTATATTACTTTCATGTTCCTATATTACTTTCATGCCGCTTCATTTCTTTAAATAGGATTATTATGCTAAGATTTAAGAAACAATTTAAAACATTGTTTATATAAATAGCCATGATGATTTTTAGAATCAAAATAGCAGGTCTCAGAGCAGTATTACAAACTGCTTTTTACAGCCTGCCTTAAGAGACTTACACTCTTGGAAACTGCTGTTTGTGAATCATAAATCCATAGGTTCAACATGTATGATACCTTGAATATTGCTGCAAGTGGGAATTTGCCCAAAGAGAAGAATAACAAGATTCCAACCTACTTTTATTTAATACAAATTGCTATGCAGTTTAACCTCTAACTAGTATCTCATTTGACGTGATATCTGTATATGATGGAGTTTATGTGTGTTCAGTAAAATATTGGCTCATAATGTCAATTTTTAGGGTTGGATTTGTTTAGTTGTTTTTTTTATAGAACAATCTATACCAGTGGTTCTCAACCTGTGGGTCGGGACCCCATTTGGGGTTGAACAACCATTTCACGGGGGTCGCCAAACAAGGCTGTCCGCCATTTTTCCCCCTTTTCTTTGGCCACGCCCCTGGCACCCGGTGATGTATAAGTGGTTGGGGGTCACTACAACATGGGGAACTGTATTATGGGGTCGCGGCATTAGAAAGGTTGAGAACCACTGATCTATACCACTACCCACCTCCAACTTAGAATTTGGGGCCAATGGTTTATTGAACATGCTTAAGGAAATCAAATTAGCACTCAGCACTAAATAATAGCTTTTTCTTTATCCAATTCTAGCCTCCACTAGGCAGAATATGCTCAGATCAGATTGATTAGAGTTAATTTTTTATTACAGACAAGAAGCCATAAACAGTGGTTGCCCAGTGCAGTGCAAAGAAGTCACAGACTGTGTATATCTGTACTCTATAGCCACAGTTAACTTTCTAGGCTTCTTGCACCCACCTTTCTAAATTAACTGGTAGGCCTCTAGATGCTAATGTCCTAGATGCTAATGTGGCATGCTGCAGTCTCAGCCCTTACATGTTTTACACAGCCCTCTAGTGTCTTTAGTGGGCTATCTAGTGCTGATACTAGTTAAAATCTTCAGTATTTTTTCTGTACTTTATTGATTTGTATTTGAAGGAATGGTGCTGCAAGAATAATAATATCATGACCTAGTTGCAGATTTTAATGCAAAAGGAAATTTTGAAAAATGTAAAAACTGGATTTTGTCTTGCCAAAGGCTTCCCGTATTTGCAATGGTCATATACTACTTGTATTCCAAAACAATTAAATTTATATCAGAAAAAACCTTGGGTATGAAGTCAATTTTTAAATTGATTGTTTAATGTTTCAGTGTCATCTGTGGATAATTTTCATTTAAAAACTGAGTTTATGTACATATTTGTGCTGTGTTATACATTTTTGGATTAACAATATGTGTTTAACTATATATTTATAAATAAATAACATGTAAATATTGCATGACTTACTACTTTATGTTGATAACACCCGTGTTTTAATATGCATGCATTGAAGTTCTTGAATATGCTGGAATATATTGTTATTGTTGGCACTAATGCAGTGTAAATATTTCTTATTTTGTATACCTTAGTTTATAATAAATTTTCTTGAATTTCTAAGGCTTGTTATATTAATGGTACTACTTGCCATTAGGAATGCATAGGTGAGAACAATATATATGTGTGTATTGCTGGGACTGTCCTTTGGTTAACCTGTGCCAAAAGATACAATGTGCCTGTCTACTAATATACACTTGCTTTACTCACAACACAAGTCTGTAAGATCAAGTAATTTCAGCCACCACAATCTGGCCTTGCCAGTGCAGGGAAAACTTGCAAATTTCTCATAAAAAATTTATTATCTTATAATTTATCAAATGACTACTGTAAACTGACTGGGTAGTAATAGCCAGCTATCTCAAGTTTTTCATCCCAAAACATCGAAGTTTAATTAGTCACTCGACTTTACTGTTTTAGACCTTAAAGGTTCATAAGAATCCTAGCTGGCATATGTCCAGGTTTTGCCTATATTTACTTCATTTAAAGTTAGTGCAAATATTTGCTGTGCTAAGCACACCCGATATAGAAAAATAGTAATTTGTGTATTATGATACTTAAATCTTAAGGGTAAACTCTCTTAAATTTTAGAAGCCCTTAAATTATTATAGCTGTAGTTCAATGTAGGGTAATTGTTCAATAAATCTTGGAATATACCATGGAAATTCTACAAGGTTTTATATGCATTATTACAGCTAAATATGTTAATAATATCTTTGGGGGCTTAAGATTACATTGGTTAATACAATAAGATTTACTACTAAATCTCCTCTGCAGGTTATGGACTTCAGTTGGCTAATGTTGGAATATTAGGGCAGAATTTTGGCAATGCCTCATATGTATTATATTCAAAGAAACTAACTCCAGAAAAGAGACTCTCTAAAAACCAATAATTTAAATTATTTAATTTAAATTAAAGCTATTAAGGGACTAGTCAAGATGGGCAATCGTTTGTCCATTCAGTTACCAAGAATGAATGGCACATTCTTAACTAAAGGATTTTTTTAAAAAAATGTAGATAGTACTATATCTACTTTTAAAATAATGGTTTGAAACAATTTGATACAGTTTAAGTTTTAGAAGCTCTAGAATTGGATTGTCCAGTTAAGAATAAAAGAATTTGTTAAGAAAATGATACTTAAAATAATCTTAAATTATATGATCTTTTGTGATAAATACAGGAAAATGTGTATATACTAAATTGTATTTCTTTCAGTCATAATAATGTTATTAGTGTAGGAGTTATTTTCTTGTTATATATGTTTTGTGTATTCAGAGCTTTCCATTTTCAGCTCTTCTGATTGGTTTATCATTGCATGTTTACTGTCCAGCATGAAGCGTGCCAGTTCAATGAATATTCTTAACGTGGGTGGCAAAGCAACTGAAGATCATTTTCAAGTAAGAAGCCCTATAATATTTTTATGCAATTAGATGTTACTGGCAGGGCTTAAAATAGCTATAGGTAAAATGACGAATTCGGGCATATCAGAACTCAAACTCAGACATGGAAATAAGTTTGATAGTGTTTCATTGCTAATTTTATGTCACAACGCTGCAAAGCGTCTAGTATGTAGGCCACCAACATTTGCAGTGTTACCCTTTTATATATGGTTGACTGCTGCTAATTCATTGCTCTTTCTATTCTCTGAATATTTTAGGGCAGAAATTCCAGTGTTGTCAATAGAAACAACAAGTCTTTCATACATAAAGCAAATAAGGTGACAGAACCATGCAGTTCAGACGACAATCAGGTGTTCTGTGACTGAACATATCTCCTTGGGTTGTGGATTTGCATTTCTTGCATCTGTCTATGTATGCTTTTTTTGTAGTGAAGAAAGTAAGTCATAAATGTATGAATGAAGCTATCTGGAGAGTCTATGATGAAGATAATTGGCTATATGTGAAAAAAACACATACTGTCTTTCCCATTATAGGGAAGCAGAAGCTAATAGAGTTGTGAGAGGTGTCTGTATGCTTTTTATAAATAATTTCAGATTGCAGACATTATCTTTACTGTCTTGTGTATGGATAGTGTTATTCTGTAATGGCTTGTAGTATATTAAAGGCATTAGAAATTACACATACATTTTTTGATGTTCAAGTCCCCCTTTTCCGGAACCATCCTTGTCTTCAACCTTGATTATCAAGAGAAAGCAGACAAACTGTTGTTGACTGCTTTATATTAACATTTTCTGAAGTTTGCAAGGTTATCTTCACTGTCCAGGCATTTTAAGTGGCTATTGGAGTTTAGTATCACACTGATTAGGATTAAAATATATCTGAACAACATCCAGCATACCGATGCACTTAAATGTCAATCCACAATAGTTTCTCAGTTGCATAAGTTGGAGAGTTAGTCTAGAACAGTGGTTCTTAACCTTTCTAATGCTGCGACCCCATAATACAGTTCCCCATGTTGTGGTGACCCCCAACCACTTATAAATCACCGGGTGCCAGGGGTGTGGCCAAAGAATAGGGGGAAAAATGGCGGACAGCCTTGTTTGGCGACCCCCGTGAAATGGTCGTTTGACCCCAAATGGGGTCCTGACCCATAGGTTGAGAAGCACTGGTCTAGAAGGAAATTAACAGTGGATGGAATTCTGTGTGGCCTTTCCTATTTGTCAGCTTTTGCTAAAAGTCACAGATTACTGACAGAGCTTGGAATACTCTCTGGGGCAACTTTCAATCTGTCCCAAGGGGTGATAAATAAAAATAAATGCAAATTGTGCCCCTGAGTAATTACAGGAAGATTAACACTGGAAAAAATATTTTCAAACTCCAACCAATATTTTTATAAAGATTGTTTTTAAAAGTTCAATTTCTATATAGTACTTGCTAATCATTGAGTAGGGCTACAATCCAACATGGGAAAAAATGAGATCTCAAGATATTAACTCAGTCACGTTTTAATAATGTCTGCATGAAGACTCTCTTTCACATGTATTAATATTTGTCATATTTGATTTAGTAGTCTTATTTAAATGACAAGTGTTATGTTGTGGCTGTTAACTAACCCTATAATTGCAACTAACATATATGACAATGTAGCAGATGTTTCAATACTAATGTGTTACATCAGGAGAGTAAAAAACTATATACGGGTATTTTCAGTTGTCTGAAATATTCTTACATTCTCATAAAACCCAAAATAAAATACCCAAAGCAAGAAAGAACTTCACAGTTTTAAAAATGGAATTATTTATAAATGCTGCCAACATCTAATAGAACATAATAAGGGTTAATTAAAGTAAAACAATCGGAGGGATAAAGTCTTCAGTTGGTGAGACATTTGTCTTAATAAGGTTGTAAGACTAAATATTTAATTAATAATATGGCCAGAATAGCGTCACAGGGACCCCTCCCTTTGGCTTGAATCTGTGGAGAAGCTTGATCATGGCAGGCATGAGCATCGATATGAAAAAATGTAAAATGGTTCTATTTTTATAATTTAAAAATATAATATTTGGTGTGCATTTTATATTACAAATAATCATCGCTCTTAGCATTTTCAGGATGCAACACTACTTTTTTTGTTTGTTGAAGTTGCTATATTTTCATGAGTTTATTATCCTGTGGCAGAACTCTTTATCAGTAATGTTATGATACAAACTATAGAATTTTTTAAAACTTCTAAGATATCTTAAGTTTCTGAGAAGCCAGTTTTGAAGATCTTTCATGCTCATATGCTACTTTAGAAACGTATTCTTTTTACTTGCTCGTCTCCTAAGATGACCATAATAAAAAAAAATCTGATAGTACAGTTAGCTTTTTGTCTAATAAAGCAGGGCTTTTCAACCTTTTCAGATTGTACCTCTTTTAGGACATGAGAATATTTGAGTACTACCAGTGCTTAGCAAGTTGTCAAAAAAAGGGGGGGGATTTTGGTTTACTGATTAGATTCATTTGTTGTTATAGAAATGGCTAGTTTATAATATGGAAAAGTAAAAAGTTGAGGTTCAATATTAATGCTTCCTTCTACTGCAACAGAGGAAATCTGTTCTTTTTCCCTTCTCTCCCTCACTTTTCCCCCCTTTTTCCTCCCCACTGTGTCCTACTATTTGCTTTTGTATTTTTGTATTTTATTCTATAATCTAATAAAATGTTGCCAACTATAGAAAAAAGGAAAAAAAGTACCAGTTTTAATTTCTTCAGTGGCTGTTCCTTTGCTGAATCACTTTCCCTTCGCACTGACAAATGTATGATGAATTTATCCATGTTTATTAATATGCACCACTACCAGCTAGCTCGAGTCTTCAAACTTGGCACTTTTAAGATTTGTGGACTTCAACTCCCAGAATTCCTCAGCCATCATGGAGGAAGAAGCCCTTCTTCCTTTCTCCCTTCTGAGCTCTTTCCACAGTGTAGTAAGAATGCACCCTCCCCCCAATCCCTTCCCTGTACCCTTAAAGACATAGGAATCAAATGCAAAACAAGAAAGGCTCACAAAATAAAGAAACACATAAACTCAGGGTGTTTTTTTTTGTTTTGTTCAAGCTACCTCAGAGGTGTCATGTGTCACAATGTTGCAATCTGGCAGTTGTGAAAAGCTTTAGCCTTAAATCAGACATGTCAAACTCGCGATGTCACATGATGTCGCGCAACGTATTGAGACGGTTTTGCCGTTGCTGGCAATGGGGTGTGCGTGGCTTCTGGATAACGTGTCTGGCCCGGGGGCCGGCAGTTTAACACCCCTGCCTTAAATTAAGCTTGTTTACCTTCAAAGAAAACTTTCTAAAAGCCATAGACAGACTCAAGATAAGGGGGTAAAACTAAATACATTTGTTTAAAGGGATTAAACCTACAGAAGTCAACACTTTGGACTCATTGCTAGCCTAAAATACAGACTAAAATATTCCAATAACCACAGCACACAAACCAAGCCTCTGAATTACAAAATGCTGTAAAAACTGTACAAAAATCCTTATGGTAACCCAATCAAGCTGCCAGCTGTTCCAGAACTAAATAAACCTACCTCCTGCTCATCTGCCGGCTTTTCATTTCATCAGCGCTGATTGCATTCTCCTGGCTGGAGAAAATGAACCAGGGGACTTTTTCTTCCAGCAACAGCTGCTGCTTCTTCCCTGTCCCTGTTTCCTCCCTGCCTGCTAAGCTCTCCTCTTTCCCTGTTGTCTTTTTTCCCCTTTCCCTCCAAAACCACCTCCTTTTATAACCTCTCCTCTCCTCCCCCCACCTTTTCTTTAGTTCACCTCCAGCTCCGCACTGCTTCCAGAAGCGCCAATCAGCTGGAGCCAATCAGCTGGAGTCCTGCCAGCTCCTGGGGCTTCTGCCAAGCCCAGACAGTCCTGCAGCTGCAGCTGCCTCTCCTCAGGCTTGGGTCACTTCAGCTCATTCCCCTCCCCCACTACACTTCTCTAGTACGGTCATGTACCACCTGCCACATGACAAAGTACACAGGTGGTACATGTACCACTGGTTGAAAAGCCCTGTAATAAAGAATTATTTAATTGAACACGTGTTCTTTAGATAGTCACAATTTGAGAACAGAAGCAAATGCTTCGAGTTTTATGCTTGTGGTGGAGAAAGATACTTTAACTTGGAACTTTTTGGATTCGTCTTTAAGGAACTGAATCAGGCACTGATAAAGCTACAAAATGCTCTTGTTGCGTGTTGGAATAAAGCCTACCTAGTTAATTGAAAGTGTGCTGAACAATCTTGAAATTCAATTAAGATCCTAAAACTAATTTTAGATAAACAGTATCAATCTTTGTTTTTCATTTTGGATTACCATGCATTGTTCAGTCAGAGATTGTATTTTTAAATGACTGATTGCACAGTATATAAATTCTTTCTGTTCTCTTTCCTATGCAGGGACGAACTAATTGTCTGACAGATTCAAGAGCTAAGAGTGTCAGTCACACTGATTTGGCCCACTGAGGTTCTGGAACAGATGCTAGCTAAAAATGTTCGTATGAATTATGAAGCACTGAGATTCACAGGTTTTGGTGGTTCCTATTAATTTTTTTAGCACTTTCTAGGTTAAAGACATAACAGAATGGACTATTTCTAGGTTCTCTTAAAATAACTGGCATTTTAAAGAATCCTAGAGTTAGCAATTAGCTTCTTTCTGAAGCATGCTCAGTTTGTTGCATTTTTACTAGCAATATGGAGTTGTGTTACAGATAGCTGTATAGCAGTATTCATAAGCAGAAGAAAATATGCCCACAAAATAGAAAAAGAACTGAAGAATAAAAAAATGCAAAAGCTTTCTTCAACATGCTGTTTTAAAACTGTTACAGGAGCATCCATTATTAACAATGTATGCATTTGCTAGAATGAGGTTTACATTAAGTTCATCGCTATATGGAATAAGGATTCTGTACACACATTAAAGATTACAGATACAGAAATTGTCAGGTATCTTATGTCATTCGGGTTTTAAATCAGGAAGACAAGATACTGGTTAATTGGAATGGACGAACTTTGACATCTCTTGAAAAATGACAATAGCCAATTGTAGCTTGATGAAATTGATGAAAGTGGTGCAATTTACTTTAACCTGGAAGAGAAAAGCAGAATAGGCTAAAAACCCATCAGGTTTTCAGTCTTTTCATTTTAGTCCCACAGAACACCTTTTTTTTTCTCAGTCCAGAATTATAAGTACATAACTGCCTCTTGAATCTGACTTCTATTTCAGTTTGGATTAAGAAAGGGGAAAAATAAGTACTGTACTATGAAGTTGTGGCTTGCAAGAGGGTCTCATAAGAAATTTGTCAGGATAAAAAAAAAAGCCTAATAGTGCAATTTGTTTCAATCTTCCATTGATTTATTACTCTCTTGGGTGATAAAAATCTTTCTTCTCAGGGAAGGACAAGTGTTTCAGCATTTGGTTTTGAAGTCACATTTAATGAAATGTGTTTATCTGTTTCCATTTGGCAATACTATTATTTGCAAGCAGGAAGTAGGAAATGTGTGCAAGACATGATTGAATACTAAGAAAATTAAATCTCTGCCCAGTAGGAATAACCAAGCTAAATTAATTTTGCTTACTTTTTTGCAGTACAATCAATGTTAATGTGGATTGCAGAGGTTAAAGCTCTAAAAGGAATATATTATAGTTTTATAAAAAATTACATGTAACAAGATTTGTGGTGAAACTACATCACTCCAGTGTTTAAATGAAAACACAAATCTGGTCACTGCTGCTGACTATGTCGAGGTTTTGTGAGAACATTATTGCATATCATTTGTAAATCTGAGTGAATTCAACTTGCTGGTTCACAATGGAGTTGGTTATATTGTTCTTAACCATCTTAGTTAAATTCTAAAATTCTGAACAGATTTTGGAAAGCAAGTACAAAGAAACCAAAAAGCTAAACTAAGATACAATGACTCTCCATTTTTAAGTTGTTGTATTTGCATTCCTGTCTGAAAAGACTTTACATTGGTGGTATGTTCTAATAAAATTTCATCTGTTACTCAAAGTGGAATATAAATATGCCTTATTCAATATATTTTTGAGAATAAGAGCATTAGATAAGGTTTAAAGCTCTTTGAGATGGTTAGGTTATTAATATAATACTAGTCTCCCTTATTTTTAACAATTTTTCCAATTTTTGTTTTTTTAAGGAGAAAAAGATACTTAAATAAAATGTTCTTCCGTATGGAAACATGGTTATGAGTTGCATTGTCCTTCGTGTTTAATGTTTTTTTTCAAATGAATATTCATATTTAGCTTTATATTGTTATAAAATTACCTCTTGCATGCATACAGCTTAAATGAAAGTTGAAAATATTTGCTGCCAAAAAGTTGAAGAGGGGCAGCGCTTTAATGCCATCTTGTTTTGACCTTATAACAAACTTTAGTAGTATACTTTGATAAATGAACCACAACAGCCGTCTCTTCATTTGGTGGGACTAAAATTTTTATCTCTCGAGTAGAATTTATGAATATTGTTACCTTATCTCCTCCAGATGAGATGAAATAAATTCTCAGAATTCTCAAGTCATCTAGACTTTCTGGAAATTGTAGAGGAAATTTACTTTTCGAAGAAAAATCTAGGTGTATGTTATGTATTATGAATAAGTGAATGACCTAAAATATTAATATTCTCACATAGGAAATAAATATTTATGGATAATCTGTATGACTGTGCTAAACTTGGTTCTTAGTCACCTGACTATCCTGCCTTGCTTATGGATCTATAGAAAATGAGAGACAATTTACCTCATACTTTTCTTTGAAGCAGTTTACTCAGTACATTCGATTAGGAAAGTGGATATAGACAAACCTATGGCTGGGCCATGCTGTGCGATGGACAGTTGTGGTAAGCTATCACTCTAAGGATATACTATTGAGCACATTATGGATATAGTATATCTTATCTTCTGCAATGTTACAAAAGAGTTACCATATATTTCCAGCTCATAACAGAAACAATTCAGCTGTTCACTAATTTAAGTGATTATTGTTGAAAGATAAATCATTTCATTAGAATCTTGCATTTGGTGCAGAAATAACTTTTGTTTGTGCATCTGTTGTACCTATTCGAAAAACTGAGTCCTCACCAGCAAAAGCTCCTATTATAAAGGGTTCCCCCCTTCAGAAGTAGCTTAAGCAACAGTCTGTGTGGTTTTGTATAAACTCTAAAGCATGATTCCTTCCCTACCAAGTAGGCTTCTTCATAATAAATGATTTAATCCTATCTTAGAAATTTATCTATGGAAACAACAGGGCCATCCAATTAAGTCCACATCTGTGAGTGAATCCCTTTTAGACCTCATAACTGCAACCTGAAAAATAAGTTTGAGGAGTCCAAGTGAAACAAAGGGAAGGCAGTCTGAGCTGTAGTCATGTGGATTCTGCCTGTTGGAAGATTGTCATTTATCACAACTCGGGGGGTTTTAACTAAAACAGCAGTGAATTGAAAGCTCAGTGGCAATATTAATCTATGTGACATTTGCACATTTAAATGTATTGGCAGCAGCATTATTCAGTTAAATTTTTTCTTTAATTTTAAAATAGTATAAGTGATGGTGATAATCTAAATTGCCCGTCACATTATATACTTTCTTAGACAATACTGTTAATTAGTACCCAAGTCACAATTTCATTTGTCTTCTAAAATAAATAAGTTGCAATATTAAATATAATTTACTTAAGCTACATCTTTAATAGATGTTCCTATATCCATTTAGAATGCTCAAGAATACAGTTAGCCCCAATACAAGTCTTTGAAAGAAACATTGGGGTTGGACTAGAAGACCTCCAAGGTCCTTTCCAACTCTGCTATTCTGTTAACATGGTGAACTAGAACAGTTGCCTTGATTCAGTAGTTATTTATATATTTACATATGAAAAATTGGCATTAGTAGTATCTGCTTTCAAGAAAATGCTTCATGCAAAACAATTCAGATAATGTTTACTATAGATATCCCTCTTTGCAAGCAGGAATGCTTTTTAGATTTAACATGTTAAATCAGCTAGCTAAAAGACGTTTTGTGTTAAACTAGTAATTTCACTGATTATGGAAAATTAAGTATTTTTATTATATATATTTCTGAAAACAGATTGTGTAGTGTTTTACTGAATTTGTTTACAATGTTGAAATACACAAATTTGTTAACAAGGTCAATTTTCCCACTGAATCTGCTACTATAAAATCTGCTGAAGTACAAAATACATACTTGTAACATAAATTCATGTAAAAAATATTTTACCAGAACGTGTTTATATTTTGCTGAAGTTATGAATACTCCCTTTTAAAAATATGAAACTTTATTTCATTATTGTATATCTCTAAATCAGAAAAAAATGTTATTTTAAAAGCACATTACTGTAGTTCTTAATCTGTAATATCAATGTGTAGTTTTATGGCTTCAAATAGTAAATTAAATAGTTTTTGTACCCTGTATGTATGACTTACCCCAAAACTGGATGTAACTAATGGCATTTCATCTGTGTACTTTATGTATGGCAGCACTGATGGGGCTGTTGTATAATGGCAGGATATTCAGCTAAACTGCTGAAATGGAGTAATTCATGTACCCTTTCGAAAATCACTTCAGAGCACTTAAGGATACCATAGTCAGAGAAAAATCAACAAAGTAGCAGTTTAAAAAAGGAAATAAATGGTACAGGTAGTCAACAACAGTTCATTTAGTGACCGTTCGAAGTTACAACGGCACTGGTTTTCACACAACCGTGACAGCATCCCCATGGTCATGTGATCAAAATTCAGACTCTTGGCAACCGACTCCTATTTATGACGGTTGTAGTGTCCCAGGGTCACGTGATTACTTTTTCTGACCTTCTGACAAGCAAAGCAATGGGGAAGCCAGATTCATTTAATAACCGTGTTACTAACAATGGCAGTGACTTGCTTAACTGTGGCAGGAAAGGTCGTTAAATGGGACAAAATTCACATAACAACCGTCTTGCTTAGAATAGAAATTTTGGGCTCCATTGTGATTATAAGTTGAGGATTACCTGTAGTTCTAAATAGTATAGTTTTAACACTGGAAAATATTAAAATGGAAACAGGCTAAATCAATCTTTAAGATTTGATTCTCCATATTTTATTTTTAAAAATTGCATTTACTCTTTAAAACAGAACTGTTCTAATGGGAATTTTATTCTTACAGGAAGAAATAATGTACGATCAATTTATCTGAAAAACTAAAAAAATGGCTCTTTTAAAAGTCACAAAGTCTGTTTTTTTAATTGGAAAAGCATATTTTCAATTTGCCACAGCAATTTCCCTAATCTATTTTGATTCTTAAATGAATGTTAAATTAGAGCAAAAGTATTTGCTTTAGGCTGTTCTAAAGAAGCAGATTTTCTTCAAAAGTGTATAGCATGGTATCTTTTTTTTATTTTGTTTTAATGTTACAGAATTGTAAAGTATTTGTTTAATTTTTAAAGCTTTCTTGTTACTGTCCAAGTGTAAAAATAAAGTATCAAACAGAGCTACATAAATGTGATTTCTTTATTAAAGAGGTGGAAATGTTCTGTATATGAAATGTTTAGTTAACACTGATTGTTTAGCAATCATTGGAAGTTCCAACAGATCGAGGGGGGGAATACTTCAATCCAAATTTAAAGTTCCAAAAGTATGTGCTCCCCCCACAGCCACACGAGTGCAATTTGGGCACTCAGAAATCAGGTCACTGTTACAGCCATTTGCAATGTCCTGTGGTCACATGAACACGTTTTATGAAATTTTGCTAAAAACCAGCATTTACTTCTGGGTTTTGACAAAACCATACCTGTAGTGAACCAGTGGTTCACTTAACAATCACTGCATTTACTTAACCACCATCACAAAAAAAGGATTGTTTAAAGTGGAGATTCGCTTTATGGCCATCACGAGTTATAACATAGCAACCAGCTATGAATTCTGGGAGTTGACGTCCAAACATCTTAAAACATTGTCTTAGGAAATAACTATGTTCACAGAATATTGTCTCCTTGTTCTCTCAAACCATCGTTTTTGTAATTCTGCCCCATTACCTCATAGGATTGCTATATCCAATCCATTATTTTGCAAATTTCTCTACAGAGGACTGCATCCCCAACTTCTGCATACCTAAAAAATAACTTGTGCTTCAAGATTATTGTGTACTGCTCCGTATTTCAAATGAACCTTTGGGAAATTTATGTAAGAAATTTATCCCACAAATGTACAATCTTTAGTAATGCCTGTTTCCCCTTTTCCTTAAAAATGTAGCTTTAAAATGGGAGAGGGTGGTATTGTCATAAAATACCCTGAAGAATATTGCATTGGAGATAAGAACATATTGTTGTTTAAACTGAACTTTTTATTTTATTCAGGCCACCATTCTCTGAAATTATTATGGTATTTCTAGTAAGCTAGAAACTTAAGACAACATGATGAGACACAAAATTAAATATTTCCAGGAAAACAATCGAGCCAAAGTCAAGTGTATTTTACTACTTTGGAAAATTTCTAAACATATACTCAACTTTTAATACGCCTGTAAAGTAAGTAAACATAGTTTATTAGGAAAGCTAAATGATTGCATTATAAACTTAAATAACATATTCATCTTTAGTTATTTAACCAATCATCTAAATTTTTGTGGTAAAATAATCAGAGTTCTGCAGTCTGCTTAAAATGAAGTCTAATAAAAGTTGTATCACTTAATTCTTCCAGTCATGATGTTGGGTGGAGATTCCCCACCAGATATTGCCCAAACATTTCTGACATAATTAAAACTTAAAAAAGATGCAGTGTAAATGAAAATTTAAGATTCTCCATTGCTGCTGCGGTACTCAACATTTGTCTGTTCACCGTATGTTAAAATGTTATTACTATCATCTATTTTAGTATTTACACTGCTTTTTGATAATCATTTTTATTATAAAACCATGATTTAAAGTACATGCAAATTGCTATATGGTACTAATAAAAACTTAAAAGCTTTAAGTTAAACAAAAGCTTAATTAATAGTTATAGATTATTAGAAAAGAAAACAGTCTTGTATATTCTTACAGAGAAAATTTATTGGCAAGGCAAATACTTCATTCAGACAAGAAAGAGTCCAGGATTTTCTATCTTTGAATAAACTGCGGCCACAAGAAGCTGCTATGTTCTCCAGCAGCATGACTGTAGAATCCACTGGATCGGTTGTTACAGCCTTCCTCCTCAGCAGACTAGGTCAGAACTTTGGCCACGCCTCTCCTTTGGGCGTGTCTCCCCAGTTTTGATCTAGTCTTATGCTCGGCAGCACGTAATTGTTAAGGCTCCGTAGACAGATTAGTTTAAAAAAAGTAATTTGATTTAAATTGGCAATGTTAAATTCCGACTGGTAAATTGACTAAATTTAACAAACGGAGGCAGCCGGTGCCTGGCCTAGTGGCTTTGAGCTCCGGGCCTCCTGCTGATTCATTCCGCTTGATTCACGAGCATCTTTCTCTCATCGACCGGTCTCGGACTTCGAGATTCAGCCTGTTAGCTAACTCCGACAGTTCTCCATCAGGAGAGCTCTGGATTGCAACCGGTAACAACAGCGGCCAGCAGCCGCACAGCTAAGGGTGGAGAGTCCTTTTTTTGGCGGTCGGAGTTGATCAGAGGAGCCGTGCGGAATACACATTCCAGCTGCAAAAGCGATGCGGAAACGCAAGTGGCTCATTGGGTTCCCTTTGGCCCTGTCTGTTATTTCACTTGTCTGTCGCCCTTTTCGCTCCATTCTAGCCCTAATTTCCATCATCTGGGGAGTTTCTAATAAGGGGCGTGGGCACCATTTTGACCACGTGTTTCACTGGCGGTCACCATTTTGAGGGCATTTTCAACATCGGACGCCATTTTGGGTGTGTTTTACAGACGTCCGCCATCTTGGGTGGGTCTACCGGCACGGAGATCCCTATTTCTCCATTGAGTGAGGGGACATTAATAGTCCTTGCAGAAAGGATATCCGAGACACCCCTGGGATCTGACTTGTCAGCCCCATATGGGGGGGGGGGAATTAAGCTCAGCCAGTCACATTTACTGAGCAGTATTCCTTACTCTCAGCATATCCGTGTTCTTGCTGCACTGGCAATACTGATTTCCTGGAGAAGGAGCGAGAGGGAAGACCCTTTTATTTCCCAACTGTTCCAGTAGGGTGGCATTTGTCACCGGCCTGACAGGTGTCTTAGCGAAGCGCCTGACTGTCCGGCCATTGCGGTTGCACAGAGCGAGGATTGTGTTCTTTCCACCTCTGTCAACTGGTCTGCGTACTTGGGTTTTTCCCCCCACACCTCCAGGTATTTCCTACTCAGTATATCTGGTTCGCAATGGCAGACAGCGCCGTGCCTTCAGCTTCACAGGGCTCCGGAATGCCTCCCCCACAACAAAAGCGCAGATCCACTGAATCAGAGTCGGGGAAGAAAAAAGCCAAAACAAAACACATATCACAGAAGGAACCCTCCAAAACAGCTGAGCGAGAGGCCTCGAGGAGACATTTGGCATTGGAAAAACAGTTCTCTAAGGCCCAAAGACTCAGGTCCAATGAGGCTGAAATTGTTTCCCCCGCCCCATTGGATATCCATATACATGACCCCACATTTGTTCCTTCTCAGGAAATTCTAAGGTCTTGGTCTCCTCGGGGGGAAACTGAGCAGGTGGGTTCACCTCGCTCCTCATCCTCATCATCACCAGATCAGGTTCCGGCTGTGGCTGGCCCTAGTGGCAGGTCTCAGGAGGATATGTGGTCTGCTCAATTCTAGTCTTTCATGCAAAACGCATTCAATCAGTTTATGGCCTCCAAGGGACAACTGACCTTTCAACCTCCATCCCATTCAGGGATAGCTACTGTCTCCGCTACAGGCGTTTCAGAGACCTCTTCACAGCTGGGAGAGGCGGAGTCAGTTGACCTAGACATAGGTGATACACCTTTGTTGGAGGATGAGGAGGCTGCTCCTGAGCAGACTCCAACTTCAGGCCTCTTTGACCCTTCTCTCTTCAAATCTCTCTTGTTCAAGGCAATTACTACGGTTAACCTCACTTCGGTGCAGGAGGAGAAACCTTCTACCAGTCAGGAGCCTAACCCTCTGTTCGCGGAGAAGGTGGTGGAGAACAAGTATATTCCTTGCCCACAGGTTTTTCGCTTCTGTGGAAAAACAATGGTCTTCACTTGCAGCTCCGCCTGCCCCTAACAGTGTAGAAAAGAAATTGTTTAGCGTTTCTCCTTCATTTGTTTCACTCTTGGAGGTACCCACCGTTGATAGTCCTTTGATCTCTTTGTTTTCCACATCTGCTATTCCAGGGGACATGGCGGAGGCCCTGAAAGCGGAAGACAAGAAATTTGAATTCTCTCTCCATCGGGCACACCTGGCCTCGGCCTGGGCAGCCAAGGCTGCAACTTCTTCCTCCTTTTTCGCCAAGGCATGTATCGTGGCTTCGCGAGCTACAAGCCAGCATACCACCAGATCAGGTTAGAACACATCAAACACTGGCCAAGCTTGTGGCCGCGTCACAATACATGGCTGATGCTTCCCTACATTCAACTAAGTATTCTGCAAGATCTATTGCAGCCACTGTTGCCTCGCGAAGGCTGCTATGGCTGAAACATTGGAAAACAGATTTGAAGGCCAAATGGCGCCTGTCCATGTCCAAATATAGCGGGACATTGTTGTTTGGATCTATCCTGGATACACACGTTAGTGAAGGCAAGGACAAGCGCAAGATTTTAGTCCATCCTTCCAAGAAACTGGACAGTAGACCACCACAGGAGCTCCGTAAACAAAGTTTCCGTCCCAGCAGCTCCTGGGAGTGGAGACAGCCCTTTCAACCAGGGCAATCCTGGGACTGGTCAAGAGGCTCGCGATCCTTCTACTCCAGACAGGATCGTTCCCAGGATCGCCAAAATATTGAAGCCAGAGGCCAATTCCAGTCTAAGTGTCCCTTCAGGGGATCTGGAGGCCGTCCTTACAGGCGGTCAAAGTGACGCCAGGGAGGGCTCTCCCATCGGGGGTCGTCTGCAAAGGTTCAGCGACGTCTGGGAACTGACCACCTCCGACGCTTGGGTAGTAGAGACCATCAAGTATGGTCTCCACTTTAGAGTTCTACTCTCCCCCACCGGACTGCTTCATAAGGTGTCCAATCTCCCGGAACACTACCAAAGCAAACTTTGGCCATATCTCATCTACTAGAAATCTGAGCCATAGAACCAGTACCAAGGAATCAAGAAGGAAAGGGGTTTTACTCCATTCTGTTCGTGGTTCCCAAGACCTCAGGAGGATGGAGGGCAATACTGGATTTAAAGGGACTAAATTATTTCGTAACCTACAGAAGGTTCAAAATGCAGTCCCTAAAATCCATATTGGCCAGCATCAGGAAGGGGGATTTCCTTTCTTCAATAGACCTCACGGAGGCGTATCTACATATTCCCATTCACCTGCAATATCGCAAGTTTCTCAGGTTTTGCTACGCGTACCGGCATTACCAGTACAGGGCCCTTCCCTTCGGTCTATCCTCAGCCCCAAGGGTCTTCACAAAAATATTAGCGGTAATAGTGGCCCATCTCAGGTTGATGCCGGTGCGCGTACAATTTTACCTGGACGACATTCTAGTTCAGTCCAGTTCGTTCCAGACAGCGCAGTTAGACATTCAGACCACAATACTCACTCTTCAGAATCACGGGTTCTCTGTGAATTTCAAGAAGAGTCACACGACTCCCACAAGGAGACTTCAACACCTGGGGGCAATAATAGATTCGACACTTTGCAAGGTATATCTCTCTCTCTCAGGAGCGTCGGACCAGCATCAGGAAACTAGTTCATCGGGTTCAGAAGGACAAGAGGGTGCCTCTGGCATAGCTGTCAAAGCTCCTGGGAAAGACGGTCTCTTGCTTGGGTATCGTTCCGTGGGCCAGACTCCACTCCAGGCTCCTACAATGGTTCTTACTTCCCTATCAGAGACAGAACCTTAGTTCCTCCAACAGGAGGGTCACAGTCCCACATCACACCTTACTGTCTCTGCTTTGGTGGACATCATCCGCGATGACCAAGGGAACTATATTCAGAGAGCCTACCCAGATCACCCTCACAATAGACACGAGTCTGTTCGGTTGGGGAGCCCACCTGAGGACCCCTCTGGCCCAGGGGCAGTGGTCACGACTGGATCTTGCCAACATCAATTGGCTCAAACTCCGGGCAGTACACCTAGCGCTCCTTCAATTCTCCCCTCTAGTAAAGGGGAAGCATGTCCTCGTCCTGACGGACAACGTGGCAGCAAAGGCTCACGTCAACAAAGAAGGAGGAACCCGGTCCTGGGAACTGATGTGAGAAGCATTGGCTCTGGATCTTTGGGTGGAGTCAAATTTGGGTTCCATCAGAGCGGAGCATATTTCAGGGGAGGCAAATCGTCAAGCAGACTCCCTGAGCAGAGCCAAGGTGGACCATGCAGAATGGCGACTGGATCCAACTCTGTTCGAGGAGATCTCATTGAGGTTTGGGCGACCTCACCTGGACTTATTTGCCACCCCGACAAACACGCAGCTTCCCAGGTTCATATCAAGGTTTCCGACATGGGGAGCGGAGGGAACGGATGCCCTCCAATGTCGGTGGCCGGCGCAGCTCCTGTACGCCTTTCCGCCACTTCCTCTGTTACCAGCAACCATATGCAAACTGATTCTGGAAGGAGCAGAGGTAGTCTTGATTGCTCCACATTGGCCAAGGCATCTGTGGTTTGCCAACCTTGTGGATCTTTCGATCTCACCTCCGTGGAGAATCCCTCTGGACCGAGTGGTCCTCAGTCAGGGCAACCTCCTATATCCCGACCCGCAGTGGCTCCAGCTAGCCACTTGGCACTTGAGCAGGAAGGTTTAGCCAGGCAGTCGTATTCGTCTGGGGTGATCTTGATGATACAAGCATCGAGGCGCCCTTCGACGAATAGGATCTATGACGCCACTTGGAAGAGATTCTGCAAGTGGTGTTTTATACAAAAGTTGGAACCACTTTCGGTCACTGTTCCAAATATTCTTGATTATCTGTTGGAAGGTTTGAATAAGGGTTTGTCATCTAGCACTATCCGTAGACAACTAGCGGCCCTGTCAATGGTTCTTTCCTGCAATAATTCCAGTCCCTTGTCGCAACATCCGGCGATCAGTGCCTTTCTAAAGGGAGCGGTTAACACCAGACCTCCCGTGGTACATCGTTATCCATCTTGGGACTTAACCAAGGTGTTGCAGGCTTTGATATCACCTCTGTTTGAACCTCTCAGTTCATGCTCTCTCCAATTCCTGTCCTTAAAGATGGCCTTTCTGGTGGCTATTACCTCAGCTAGAAGGATTTCGGAATTAGCCACGCTAATTTGTGCACCTTTTTCGAGGACAGGGTGGTCCTTAGACTGGATCCCTCATTCGTTCCAAAGGTTAACACTATCTTTCACAGGTCTCAGGAATTAATCCTTCCCAATTTCTGTCCCAATCCCACACACAGGTTGGAACGACAGTGGCATAAGTTAGATGTACACAGGGCTCTGTGTTACTGTGTGAAGCATATTTCATCCTTACGTAAGTCGGAGTCCCTATTTGTATCTTTCCAACCTTCGGCCATAGGGAAGAAGGTTTCTTCTTCAACCTTAGGTAGGTGGATTAGGGCATGTATAACTCGAGCCTACTCTTCTCAGTCACTTCCTGTCCCTTCGCATGTTACGACTCATTCGACACGAAGTGCTGCCGCGTCGGCTGCATGGTCCACGCAGGCTTCAGTGGTCTTCTCCTTCGGCATTCGTCAGACATTACCGGGTAGATGCCTTCGCAGCGGCTGATGCTGCATTTGGCAGGCGTGTACTTCAACAGGTCATTTCTTCTCAGGGTTCGCAAGCCTAGACTCTCCCTCCCGAGGGGACATGAGCAGCTTTGGTATGTCCTATCCAGTAGATTCTACAGTCATCCTGCTGGAGAAGGGGCGTTGTCTTACCTGAACGCCTTTTCTCAGCAGGATGATGTAGAATCCACACCCTCCCATGTAGGTAGTCTAGGCAGGTGTTATGACAGATGGAGCCATTGTGTTGAATTCGTCAGAGCTGCTTCGCCTCGTCAAAACTGGGGAGACATGCCCAAAGGAGAGGCGTAGCCAAAGTTCTGACCTAGTCTGCTGAGCAGGAAGGCTGTAACAATCCATCCAGTGGATTCTACATCATCCTGCTCAGAAAAGGCGTTCAGGTAAGACAACGCCCCTTTTAATAATTTCACAATCTACTGGAAAGTATGCAATATACTAATCAAACGCTGCGATCTGAAGATGTCTTAATAAATAGGATCAACTAGGCTAAATATTATTTGAACAGGACTTCCACTGATAAATGGAAATCTTTGTTTAAATACAGTATAATAAAAGATTTCTAGACAAATCTTTTACAAAGTGAAGGAAAACTTTCATATTCTCCATTTAATCATCCATAAATTGAATTGAGAAGATTCTTCAGGCAACTGTAGAAATTAATTACAGCATTAGGAAAAACATCTCCCAAAATATGATGCTGGAGAAAGTGTATAACCAACTTAAGTATATAGGCACAATATTTGACAATGATATGGGAATAAGTGAAGTTTAATCAGCAGAGTATCTCTAAAATAGTGTCATCTATCAGGATTTAGAAAGTTTACAACATTGGCCCTATGGAATTATATTCCCACGAGATTTGGATTATCCCAACTCGGTTGGCTTTCCAAAAGACCTTGACAAGTTGTTTTTCTCCCAAGTACTGAGCCAATGCTGGATAAGCTCATTCTGAAATGACTTTTAATTGGAATCATTGGGATTTGGCCTTAATTAATCTCTACTGTGAAGGATTTTTTAAAATGTTTTTAGCCATGTATAAGCTGCCCAGAATTGCAAATTGGGCAGCCACACAAATCATTTAAATAAATAGTAAATAAATATGGACATTTAAGTCTTATTATCTTTTCCTCCTAAGATAGGGGTCATGGGGACTTAATCTAGTAAGTTTCATCTCTTGGGGTTCTTGTGTATTTTTATATTTTTTATTTTTAGAAATTAAAAAAAAATATTTTTTCCTGTGTAGGGACTGCAGTGGAAGTTATATATTTTACATTTAGTGCACAGGAAGAATATAAATATTTCTTCATAAATTAAAAGAAAACAGCAAAAAAAAAAAAAAAAAATTAAAAAGACATTTTTAGGTTTGTCAGCTTAAAGGTAAACATGGGACCCAACTAAATCTCCCCAGGAAAAAAATTCCCTAGCCATGTAAATAAATTGCATCACACCATTAATAGTCTACCCTGACTTTAAAAGAGTGCAGCATGTTTAAATGGATCTCGTAACTTATTATTTCAGCCTAAGCACTGTCAATTCAGCATGTTAGTCCTGTTGAATACATGTAATTGCTGACAGAGAATTTCCTTTCTAGAAATACAGCTTAACCTTCAAAGGTTTTTCAGTTCAAAATTATTTTATCAGATGTTTGTTACATATGTTTTATATTGCTAAAGGGAATTCTTTTATAAACGGAGGTTTTCTGTTTTTTGTAGTTTAAACGGGTTCAAGTTATTGTTTGTTATCATTCTGAGAGCACAATCCAGATCAAATAATACTTTGCTGAGCAGACAGGATAATGCAATAGATAAATAGGATGATACAACAGCAGGAACAGATTGAGGATTTTTAATATATTAGCTCCATTTTATACTGAAATAATGGTAAAAAAACCTGCTTTACGTTTTTTCATAATCATGACTCGTTTTCCTTATTCCTTTTACACCTTCCAAATTTACAGTATAATAGCAAAAACACTGAGGCAAATGAGGAGCAAAAATAATTCTTAACATTCGTAGCTCACTTCTACTATACAATGTTTCTCCACTAGTCGGTGCTTGGTTTACAATGCGACACACCATCAATCTCATCAACAGCTGATTAGACCAAGTTATTCCCAGTGCTGGAACAACAGTCCTGGCTGAGCAGCTGAAACACAAAGCCTGTAATTACAAAATATTCTAGCAATTTGAGCTAGGGGAAGCAAGCTTGTTTTTTAGATTGGTTTCTTGGGCTAGCTACTAGGCTCATAGAAAACCTGCAGCAGTTTTATTGCATTTGCAATAAAAGAAATCTTACTAAACACAGAGGAAATAAATAGTATTCGTTTAACTATTACATTTAAATTCCATTGTTAAATCTATTTTTTGTTGTTCCAGAAGTGTGCAGCCCCCCCCCAGCCAAAATTTACATAATCCTAGGACAGATGAATTAATAATATGGTTTGATCTAAGGTAATTTTGCTGAGCTCTTTAAAGATTATTGCACTAGTCTTTTCACGTTTATAAGAGAGATCCATCCTAGCAAATGTTATACCATATTAGATGCTTCAGAATCACATTAAGGTAATATGATCCATTGCATCATATTAATCAGTGAACACATGCTCTCTGTTATAAACTTATTTTAACTAAGAAGAAAGTTCTGTTGGGTAGAGGTGTAGTTGGTCACAGCCTCACTCTTCACAGCCTCACTCTTCAATGAAACAGAATCCATTTAAAATCAGGTGTTTTCACCTTGTGTTTGGGACTAGCCATAGAATCCAATAGCAGTTCTTCCTTACAGCATTCCAACTCAAAATGAGTTATTCTAGGTAGGGTTAGAAGAACCCAATATCAGCGTATATACACTACCGCACACATACAACATATATGAGATGTGTATTTAGATTCACTTTGTGTGTATATATGTGCGCATGTGTGCATACATGTGTTTGCTGAATTTCTTTTTCCACTCACCTTTGAGTATTCCAAACAGCATCTTCCTTCTCATTCATTGCATCAGTTACCTAGATTACAAAAAAGAAATCAAGAAAAATGCACATTCAACACTTTGTCAGAATATAATAATGGGAAAGAAATGATTTTACATCAAATAAAATACTTTGGCTAGACCAGAGTTAATTAGCCAATCCTAATTCTGGTGATCCACAGGAACAATAGCGTTTACTTGGAGAAATTTCATTGTTAACTATTACTTTCATTTAAGTGTTTAAATCAAGGTCCAGTTAAATATTAAAAACCAGTTAGGTGCACATAGCTCTCCTGAAATTAGTGGGATGTTGCTTAGGCTAAGCAAACTCAACTATCTTACCTGATTAATGCATACGATGGGGGTCTGGAACCTGCAGCTTAATCTATGAAGTTTTGCCCCAAATCTCTGTAAATATTTAGCTTTCAGGAGAGAATCTGTAGCACTGAATTCACATCTGAATAAGGCAGCAATGGAGTCAATAATGACTAGCCGCACCATGCCTCTTGAGAGCAGCAAGCTAAGTCTCTTAGTAATGCACTCATGGAAAGTGTCCTGTAATAAGGAAATACAGCAGGATGTTTGTCAAGAACAGCACCGTTGTAAAAAAAAACTGTGCTGGAGTGGATGCACAGTAATTATTGCAATAGCTAGAGTAATTCTTATTCCAAGCTTTTGTATTTGTTTGCAATGCCAGCAAACAGAAAACTGTATACTCAAATCAAGTAGTTTTACTGAGTCAGGAAGCTGAGTGAGAATTAACAGCAATGTTGCAAATCTATGCACATTATCTTGAGACTAAGTCCCAATTAACCCTTCTGAATATATAATAGGATTACATTAAGATTTTTACAACAGGGTTATTGGTCCTTATTCTAAAACAATATCTTGCTAGAATATCCTTTTTCTATGCTTGGAAATACGATTATTCAAGACTTCTTTCTGCCAAAGCGGGCTAGCATTTTCTAAACAGTGATATCTTTCCAGGGTTTCACAGTCCCCTGGACATGGGTCCTGCCTAATGTTTCCATCAGCAATGAAATAAATACTAACAGGAAAGGGTTAATTGTGGCCAGCACAAATTGATTTAACTCTTCCAAAAAAATTACCCCACTCCAAGTTGAAATATATCCTACTAACTGTATAGCTCTGCTGCATTATTAACCGGTGCAATCCATAAGCCATTTGTAAGGTGGTATAGAATTAATATGTTTTCCTCTGCACAATTTTTATTGTATGTTCCTGATGGAACATCAAACTGGGAAGTAGCGAAGTATAGCTGACACACATTCCAGTGAAAAACAAAATGCGGGAGAAATGCACTGGAAAGCAAGTTCTTGTCAATAATTTATTCATTTTCCCTTCTGGCTACTGTTCTAGTAAGCTGAAACAACCTCCATCCCCAATGACCCATTCCTTATTAATATTTAGGAATGTGGCTAAAATGGAGTTATTCAAAAGCACTTTTAATGTTTATATGTTGTCATTGGGAAATGCTATGTCAATATCATCCTGGATACATTATCCTGTAATTTTTATTCTATACTTTATTATCTGTTTTTATGCTGTACACTGCCAGGAAGAGCAACAAAGATGATTAGGGGACTGGAGGCTAAAACATATAAGGAACGGTTGCCAGAATTGGGTATGTCTAGTTTAACGAAGAGAAGGACAAGGGGGGACATGATAGCAGTATTCCAATATCTCAGGGGCTGCCATAAAGAAGAGGGAATTAAGCTATTTTCCAAAGCACCTGAAGGCAGGACAAGAAGCAACGGGTGGAAACTAATCAAGGAAAGAAGCAACCTAGAACTAAGGAGAAACTTCCTGACAGTGAGAACAATTAATCAGTGGAACAGCCTGCCTCCAGAAGCAGTAAATGCTCCAACACTGAAAGTTTTTAAGAAGAGACTGGACAGCCATTTGTCCGAAATGGTGTAGGGTTTCCTGCCTGAGCAGGGGGTTGGACTAGATTACCTCCAAGGTCCCTTCCAACTTTACTACTATTACTATATGGAGTATCAATACATAAAATAAATATGGAGGAGCGATCAAAAAGGGGGTTTAAAAAAGGTGCATTTACAAAGGCTGATGCGTAGTTATGAAAGCTTTAGGAAACACTCGGGAAAAAATATTATTTACTGACCTTGTATTTGTGGTAAATGCCTAACTTATTTTTTTTAAATGTCTTTTTCATTTCTCTCCAATTTTTTAGCAGCATTTAGGAGGCATTTGTATTTTCTTCTGTTTAAAAAAGTAATGTGTTCCATGTGTGCACATTTTTTCACCCAGACTAATCAGGGTATGTACAACTGCATTGCCCATCTGTTTGTGTCAGATATCTAATTAGGATAGATACATGGGTGTTGCCTCTGAATATAAATTTCTGTTCTTCCTTCATACTATATGTTTGACTTTCAATATTTGTGTGCATCAAAAAGCTCAGGCCAGGCAACAAGCATGCTGCCCTGGGTTATGTGATCAAGAAAGAAGGGAGGGGCTTAGAATAGAGGAGTGGCAGCATACTGAACCATTAGCCATCTGCCCCTCCCAAATGGATGCATGGGGGGGGGTTTCTTTGCAGCCCCTGGCTATTTTCTAAATCAATATTTTTTTAATTTCTTTTTTTCAGCTTCTTCCACCACATCAAATATGGTTATATTACGTTCTGTTTAAGAGAATTATTCTGCTGACAGACAGATAGCCATCATTTTGAGCCCTTTTAGGAAATGACTTTCTAATCTGCCATTGGGTTGGAAAGAACAAAAGGAAAGCATTTGACTACATTTTTCTCTTGGGCATTCCATTTTTGTTTTCCTTTCCTTAAAAAAAATTAAAAATAATGTTAAGCAAAAGGTATCCTGCGGAATTCCAGTGTATTTTCTCATAAAGACAACACTGAATATGCCAGAGGAAAAGCAAGCAAATAATTAAGCCAGATCAATTTCTCTTTAAAAACGGTATAATGCAATGCCTAGTTGGAAAGATTTTCTATGCCTGCAGCATAATAACCAAATGCTAATCAATTTCCCTCTCTGCCAATTTTGAACCAGCAAATGAAGTCTCCTCTGTGCTTGATTCCCTTTCTAGTTCAATTTGTCCTCATTGAGGGCAGCGATGCCACACCTTTGTCTCCAGAGTACAAGTTGGTGGATGCCCGCAGACTGGTTTGATCACAGTCTCTGAGCTTGACTGCTGTCCACCATTTAATGGATAAACTATTCTAACATCAGAGGTATGCTGGAGAAAAAAAAATGTAAATTAACATTTAATCAGTGAGGCAGACTGTAACTTGCATTCTATGCCCCAAATTTAAATACAAGACAGTAATATCATTTAAGACTATATATATATTTATAAAAATAGGCAACCAATGATTCCGTGACTTGGGAGTTATTATTGATGGATTAAAATCTGCTTTTATTCACATTGATTTTTTTTAGTTTTCTATAGATAAGCAAGATGTGCAAGACGGTTGTGCAAGAAACCCGAAACAAGTTTGGTTTTTTTTTAGAAATCTTTATAATTCAGTTGACTTAGTGCCAAAAAAGTAAGCACATAACAGCACTACTTTAGCTTCTGAGAGTCCTTCAACTTAGCCAGCATAGTTTCATAGCCATGAAAACAAAAAGCTTACTTTTTTATTAAAAAATAGAAGAAAAATGAACACTCATTTTTCAGAAGTTCTATACTGCTTTTTACAGTATTGAAGTTCAAACCTGACCTGCTGAATGGGTTCTATAAGTTAAGATCTTTTTAATGACACCATTTTAAATGTTTTGCATAGTTTAATTAATGGATGTTCTATATGTGTTGTTTGCAGCCTTTTAGCTTCATACTGATAAAATTTGAGGAGGAAATAATCCTCTTTTTTCTGTAGAGATTTGCTGAGAAATGACATCTTTGGAAACAGTACTATAAAACTGATGTTAAGTGTGAGTAATTGTCATCTTGATTTACAAAATGCATATTCTATGTTGGAATGTAGCATCACAGCTCCTTTTCAACTGCATAGATTGAATTTAACATTTTGAAGCATTAACAGCCAGATAAAATACTCACCAAGTCTGCTGCATGTTCAACAAATATTCTGTTTCCGAATTTTATCTTCTGCATCACCTCAGATGGAACATCACTCCTCAATATGGGCAGCTGCTCAATCAATTGCTGCAGACGTTTATTAGGAAAAACATCTTCTGTGCAAATGTAAACTGCACCTGTAATGAAGGCCAAGCCATCTGAAATTACTGTTTTCTCTTTGTGGCAGTTGGCTGGAACACACACGCACACACACATACATGTACATGCTGGGAAGGGATAATAATTTCCTATTTTAAAAAAAATTACTTTATATGGCTACCCATTTTATAACTGCAACTGTGGGTGGCTAACAAAATAAAAATTCAGTAAAAGCAAAGTAATACTAATAGCAAAACCCACTATAAATAGATATACAGAATGTTTGTTGAGGACAACAACATGCAATATAGTGAAAACCATCTCACACACTGCCTTAACCTCATGACCCCAATGCCCAGGAAAACAGTCAAACAGCCATATTTTTAAGGTTATCTGAAATACCAGCAGTGTCTTGCTGGATCCTGGGAATTATGGTGTTCCAGATACCAGGCGCTGCAACTGAAAATGCCAATTTCCAAAGCTGCAGTGGATATTAGTACAGATATTCATCAACTTCAACAGTTCATTTAGTGACTACTTGAAGTTACAGTGGCATTGAAAAAGGTCACTTATGACTGTTTTTCACACAACCATTGCAGCAGTATCCCTGTGGTCATGTGATCAAAATTCAGACACTAGGCAACTGACTCATGACAATTGCAGTGTCCTGGGATCATGTAATCACCTTTTGCGACTTTATGACAAGCAAAGTCAATGGGGAAGGTCAAGGATGACTCAGCCTTTCATCCTTCTGGGGTTGGTAAAATGAGGACCCAGATTGTTGACGGCAATATGCAAATACTGCTTACATTGTACACTGCCCAGAGACTGCTGTAAAGCACTACAGGGCATTATATAGGTCTAAATGCTAGTAATCATAATGCAATAATATGCAACACTGCAGGGAGTGAAGAATTCTGCTCAAAATCATTACAAGAGTATCATGGTTCTGATAGATGAGACCAATTAAAGCAGAACTCCGAGGCCTGAGTTTTCCTCTAAGAACATGTTTATTGATTACAAAGTATCGGCATGGTCAAAATTGAAACCAAGACTAAAGTTCCCTCCCAAAAATAACAGTATTATAAAGTTAAACTTCCCACCCCATAAACTATGCAATCAATTCCACTTCCCAATCAAATTTTTGGTGGGCTTTCTAACATTAGGCTCAACCCCCAGTCTAACAAATAGAAATGACCTTGGTTCTCACGGGACAGAGAATTGTTTAGATTAACATAAAACTCCCCCTCTCTCTTCCCAATCTTGTGGCAACCGAAAAGGAGCAAGATGGCTTCAGCCAGGTTCATTGCAGAGTTGACAAAGAGATTAAAAGAGTATATTTCTTACCAGATTCTAGTCCACCATATGTGTATGGATACTGCACAGAAAGACATAGCTGCAAAGCAATCTGAGTCTTCCCAGCAGAACTTTCACCAGCAATTTCAGTAATTCCTGTACGGGGAATTCCACCTTGGAGCAAGCCATCTAGAACTGGGCAACCTAGACTCAGCTTCTGCCTTTGGGAAGAGCTCGGGGCTTTGTTTTGAAATAACTGGAGTGCTAAAACAATTTGACAAGAGGTTTACTTAATGTCACTTGTATGCCACTTTCAATGTAATTATCCTGAAATGGTTCACACAATAAAGATACGGAGGCTCTTAATCACAGCTGATTCAGAAATCCTCAGCAAGCATTCAGTTAAGACATCCAGCAAAAGCACAATGTTTTATTTCGGCAGCAGGAAAAGAATATAAGGTGGAAAGAGAAAGGGAATAAAAGAGATTATCAATTTTTTTTTATAAAAAAGGTGCCGTTACCATTTTATGACATAAACACATCAAATGTTATAGCATTTTAAAGGGTTCAATTAGATTTTAACAGAAGTCTGGAAGATCAAATCCCATTATATATTCAATTTATAGGTTTATAGTAGTGTAATTTTTTTTAAATTGATTGTTTAGAAAAAAGCTAATTGAAGACTTACCTGTAAAAACAGAATTTTTTCTCAAAGTACTAGAAATTGTTCTTAGTAGATATTGTACATCTGTCTTGGATAGCTTTGTTAACCTTTGCAAATCTGATCCCGAAAGATGAAAAATGTCTTTAATTGATGTTATATTTGCTGAAATAAGAAAATTGATTCTATAACCTACATAGACTTATTTGAAAAGTGGAAATATTACAGGGCATAGGCTAGTTATTATTTCATTCTCTTGCTCTAGAATCCTTTATCATATACCTAAGTATGTCCCATTCAACGCAATGCAATTTACTTTTAAATAGACATGAACAGCATGGCAACATAAATACAGAGGTTTGTTTTTATGCAAGCACTTTTTTCTAAAGCAAAACTGTGAAACTATAATTGTTCACTGTTGCTCAACTATTCAGAACATCCCTTACCACTGGCATTCATTCATTCATTTATATTTCACCTTTCTAAACAGCAGTTTAGAAATGGTAACTGGTAACTAGTTTAGCAATGAGAGCAAAGCTAAAAATTTCCCATCAATTATCAGCTATAGACACATTCACAGATATTTATTCAGAAGTGAGTCCAACATGGCCTGTTCTTAAAAAATTAAGATTGCAACCTTAGCTTCTTTTCAGATCTGGATATACCTAACCTCATCACAATCAGCATTTACCTACTTGCAATCATAGTCTGTAGAAATCCCTAGTCAAATGCAGCAAGACAAAGATTTTTTACACAATCAATATATAAAAATGATAGAGGGGTGGCATATAACATGAAAACAAGGATTTGTAGACAGTTAATGTACCTTTTTTAATAGCTGCAATCACTCTGGGGTTCATGTCAAACTTATCCCAGTCCATTTCTTCACAAATGCAGAGCCAAGCATAGAGGAAGAAAACTGAGTAAGATATAGCTTTAGAAGGATACTAACAGAAAGACTTGAAATAGTTTTTCACATTAGCCTTGCTCCCTGGTGTCAGTATTATTTTTCCAATTTTTCTTTAATGCTTTTATATTGCTAGTGTTATATACTGATTTGCAATTGCTAGACTCCTTGGCTTGTTTTAGTTACTTTCAGGTTATGTAGCATGTGAAAAAATATCAGGGGTGAAGAATGGTTCACACGTAATCTGCATGAGACAATGGTACTTAGGTGAAAAAATATAAGGATATATGAGATTGGCCAAAACATGTTGTGAAAGTGGATGCAAATGCTATTTTTACAATCATCACACAGAATAAGATACCATGAATAAGGGGCTTCCTTCCTCTATTCTTCTGGAACTCAAACAGCCTAACCCTGTGGTGGCGAACCTATGGCACACGTGCCACAGGTGGCATGCAGAGCCCTCTCTGTGGGCACACGCATCGTCATCCCAGTGCTAGGCCTTCATCTGGGTTTTATAAAACCTTTTTGCTCTAGGCCTCCGCTGCCATGTGCAAAAACAAAAAGGTGCAATCAACCAATCAATTTCAACTTCTTGTTGGAAAAAAAAGATCTTGCAAAGTTGGAATTGATTGATTGAACTTTTTAATCCCACCCAGTCTGCGGTTACCACCACAGCCACGCCCACCCAATGGGCCACGCCCACCCGGCACCCGACAATACATAAGTGGGTTTTGGGTTGCAGTTTGGGCTCTCCGTCTCTAAAAGGTTCACCATCACTGGACCCTAGCCTCCCTAGCTTCCACCTCTATAGATTAAAGTAAGAAATTTTAATAAATGAAAAAATTATTGAAATGAACTCTTTTGTTACCTATATTTACTTCTTCATAGGATCTTTATTTGCTATATAGTTCCACCCGAACACATTTGTGATTATAGACTCAAAATTGCACACTAGCCAGAAAAAAATGCTAATTTTGACAGCCAAACGAATTCTCAAAAACTGACAGTCGGACAAGTCACCCAACTCAAACTCCATCGAGAGAAAACTAGTAAGCAAGAGTTACTTTTAAATTATTCCCTACCTTCAATGAACGATCCCAGCCTTCGAAAAGAGAAAGGCACTAACAAGAATCATCCTAAACCGCGGAAAGCGTGGGCCAATCACAAAAAGCTGGAAAGAATTATTAACCAATCAGATGCCCCGCTCGTCATTAAGAACACAGCTTTTCTCAACTTCGCTGTCAATGTAAAGGGCGCATGCGGCATTATAACGCTAGTCTCTGCGCGCACGCGTGCGAGACTCCTCTCTCTTTTTCCCTCCCCTTTTCCTTTTCCTATTTGCCTTGAAGGGGATTGGTTGAGAAGTGTATATCAATGGGGAGGGGAGGTCGGCCCACTATTGTAATGTTGAAAACAACAGCTCTGCCCCCCCAAGAGAAACGTTTCTCAACTTTCATTGGTCAGGAGAGACGTCTATCTTTAGTGAATCTGATGGCGATTGGATGGTTGTGGCGGGGCAGTGGCTTCGGATTGGGTGGTTGGGGTGGATCGACGGTTTGGGCGCGTCGCCGTGTGGCGGCGGCTGTGGTACGAGCTCTGAAGTGAAAATGTCGGGCCGCGAGGCCCCTGATGGCAAGAAGTTGATTCGCTCCCCTAGTGGGCTCCGAATGGTCCCCGAAAGCCGGGCTACGCAGAGCCCTTTCGGATTGGAAGAGCCGCCGTGGGTGCCGGATAAGGAGGTAACGGTGGTAGGGCTGCTCAGCTCTGGACTCTGTTCAATATATCTCCTCCCTCTTTTCAGGCTCTGCCGCCCTCCGCCAGAGCCTGTCCCATCAGTCCCTATTCGTCATGAGACGGTTGGATTGTGGAAAAACCAGGATTGTGGAAAAACCTTCGCGGAACTTCAGTTGTGCTCTACGCTTCACCTCCCATTTTTTACCTTCAGGTCTTTTCCCCCTTTGGAGAGCTTTCCCCCCCCCCGGGATGAAAGTCCTGCTGCGACGCTCAAAGCTCGCCCTTCAGGCTTATTGGACCGAGTCTCTGAACGTCCTGCCTTAAAATCACCCTCCTAGCAGAACATCAGAACAGTTTGCTAAAAACGGGGCTAGAACTTGATGTGCTGTTCTTCTGTTCGCCAGCAGGGGGTGTCTGAGTAGAAAACAATAGTGGCTTGATTAGGGGGTTCCTGATTGCTGCAGTATTGGGAGCTACCCAAAGTTGGTTGTAACATACGCGGCTATATAAATGCTTTAAAGAAATAAAATAGTGAAGTTTTCTATTTGAAACAATTATAAGGTTTACTTTCAACAATGGGTGATGGATTAAGTATATGTTTCATGGAAGAAATTAGTTTGGGTGAGGGATTTGAAGGGAGAAGTATTCTGCTCATTTATGGAATTCCCATTCATGGAAATAATAAGGAAACTGATCACACATAGCTAAAGAGACCTAGAAAACAAATCATGGCTTGGAAAGAAAAGCTGAGGTGAATGTAGAAGCTGCAGGATCTTAAGCAGAAGGTGGCAGAAGAATAGTCAGTGTTTCAGACTTACAACAAGAAAGGTGCAAATGTACTCAGTAGAGCAGTGGTTTTACAACATACTATATACACCAAGAATTGACAACTGATACATAATAAATCATTCTTTGCAAATGTTAGGTTGAAAAAAAACCCAAGTGCTTAGCTAAATGTGTTGTGCATATTTTATCAAATACTGGAAAATCATGAATTACCAAAGTTTCAATAACATTGCAAACAATATCACTTCTAGGATGCTTGTTAAATGATGTCAGAAATAGATAATATTTGTATAGCAAGTAGGTTGAAGCTTGTTGAAGCTTAGAATGTCATCCAAGAACAATAGGATAAAGTACATTTCATAGCAGCCCAACATATTTTATGTTCCATGAATTATGAAAAATATTGGCAGTATATATTGTCCTTATGTGGAAGAACAAAACTTTGTGATTGAGACTCTTGTAAAATGCAAGTCTTCATAACAATATATGTGAAGAATAACATTCTTTAGTAATCTTTGTTTCTTCAGGGCTTACCTCCCCTTTCCCCATATAACATATTTTTATGCCCAATATAAATTGGTGTTTTTATCCTTTTACGTAAAGAGATATTTCAAGTACTGTCTGGAAAATATGCGGTATAAAGGTGAAGAAAATCAAGTGGACAGGAATCAGTTGTTAAAGTTCATTAGAAGAAATGGTAACATCGAGATTGATTTCAAGCAGTTTTAAATCTGGGGTTTAGATATGATCTCAGAAAGTAGTCCTTAGATGGATCATGCTAATTGTGCTTGAATTTGAACTACAGATGATCTTGTATTTTTTTTGTTTTGTTTTAATAGGAAGATATGGTACAGAAAAATGATCTCTGTAGAAGCATTTTATGAGACTTACTCATGTAAATCAATGAAGCTCTTTAGAATTGTGTCACATAATATATGCCATGTATTCTTTTAGTCCTTGGCTGAAACAGTCAAATTTTAATATGTTTGTATTATTATTTTATAGTGTCCTAGATGTATGCAGTGCAGTGCAAAGTTTGACTTCATAACCAGAAAGGTAAAGAGTTTGGATGCAAATTTATTGTAGAGCATTCTCCCGAAAGCAATAAAATGTCCTCCCCACAGTCATCACCATTGAATAGAATGTTCTGCATACCAAATGAATATGTTATACTGATAGCTGTAGCATTTAGGAAAGCAGTAGTTTGTACTGAAAAAACTTAGTGTAGCTTATACTGAACATAATAATGATACCAATTTTTCTTTATGGTTTTTCTATCTTCTTGACATTGCATTGTGAACACTTTTAAAATTTTCAGTAGATGAATTTATTTATTTTTTCAACTTCTACAGCTGCACATCTCAACCAACGACTTTGGGCAGCTTAATGATAAAAATATAAAAACAAAACCTTTAAAAACCTTTAAAACAATAGAAACATCCAAAAATAAATATATACAGCAGATAATTAAACAACAGGAAATCAAAAAATGGGGTCTTTAACCCATTCAAAGTCCTAGGCTCAAGTTTAGCCGGATAGCACCTTCAAAATGTATATCATTTGCTTTAAGTATAAACCAGAATTACAAATCTCGCTATACATGACTGTTGAACACTACATATGCAATAAGAAGTACTTTCACAAATCTGGCTCTTTTCTACATTGTTATCCTGGAGGCAATTACGGTTTATTCTCTAATTAGATTTCTTTTTAGTCAGGCCATGCAAGCAATACACATTACAGTTGAAAACTACATATGCTTTTTGATGCTACAGATTTGCTGTGTCCACATATTAATTCAGGGTGTATTTGATTTTGATTTCTTGAATAAACCAGTTGGCCAGGTTGTACTTATGTTTAACCTTGATTTAAAAGTCTCACACACATAATTTTAGGGCTAAATGAACAATTTTAGGCCTAAATGAAATAAAAAGTTTGCATGATGCAGCTGTTTTGCTTTACAATTATATCATGAATGTTATATGATTATATAAATTATGTATTTATATAAATTATATGCTTTACAATTTCTCAAACAATGTAATTGCTTTCTTGTGTTGCAACTTCACTGAGTTTTTGATAAGCAATTACAGTAACAAAAATCGTTTCAAAACTATAGTTATAAGGATGGAGTATTGCATAGGGCTGCCAGAATAAAAATCTGGATGATCCATTAGATGGCACAGTAGTTCTACTATCTAGTGTTCATTTAGATCAGTGGTTCTGAACCTGTGGGTCGGGACCCCATTTGGGGTCGAACAACCATTTCATGGGGGTCGCCAAACAAGGCTGTCCGCCATTTTTTTCCCCTTTTCTTTGGCCACGCCCCTGGCACCCGGTGATGTATAAGTGGTTGGGGGTCACTACAACATGGGGAACTGTATTATGGGGTCGCGGCATTAGAAAGGTTGAGAACCACTGATTTAGATTATTGCAATACTGATCTGATAGCCCTAAAATTTCATGTCACAAAGATGTTTGTTTGACAAACATAATTTGGATAGACAAATTATCCTTTAGATAGTGAAGGAAATATTTGGGCTGATCAAATGTCATTTTCACATGGTATGTGACGCTGTGGATAGCTTAACTATGGACTAATGAAAAAAACCAAGCTATCTAATTCATAGAGTATGTTGTTGTTGTTAGTTGCGAAGTCGTGTCCGACCCATTGCGACCCTATGGACAACATTCCTCCAGGCCTTCCTGTCCTCTACCATCTTCTGGAGTCCATTTAAGCTCATGCCTACTGCTTCAGTGACTCCATCCAGCCACCTCATTCTCTGTCGTCCCCTTCTTCTATTGCTCTCAATCTTTTCCAGCATTAGGACCTTCTCCAGGGAGTCCTTCCTTCTCATTAGGTGGCCAAAGTATTTGAGTTTCAATCATAGAGTATATTAAACCTTATATTGGTAGAATTTTTGCAATTCTTTAAGGATAAGATGTGATTTGTTTGTGGGCTTTATATGTTACATGAATCCTTCCTTCCTTCCTTCCCCCTCTCTCTGTCTCCCTCAGTTTTGTGATATGGAGATTACGAAATTTATTCAGTACTGTTTATATTCTCTAAATATATAACTTTTAGCTCAGTTAAGTACTTAAGCATTAATTCTTGTTCGCTGATAGTTATTTATATTTATTATATTTCTACACCATCCATCTCACCTAAATTACTCTGCGCATTTGATACTTGAAGCTTGCTGACTGTGCTTTTTTGTTTAGAACAAGCTGCTTGTTTAGAAAATGCTGCTTATTGTACTCTGCATTTTCATGGACTGATTGCTAGACTTCCATGAAAACTAAGGAAGTAGTGCAATGTGATCTGCAAAGACAGCTTCCTCTAGCACATGAGAGTTTAGACCTAATTCAGACATTTTTCTCAATTTCTTTTTGCAAACATTCTGGTTTTTTTTTAAAACATGGCCTATCAGGATTTTATCCTCTTTATCCTCCTTGTACGTCTGCTGCAGTATTCTATCTGCCTGATAGAATTTGCAATAGATCAAAAACAAATATTTTAAATGTAATGATCCAATTTTGGTTAATCCCTCTCTCTTTCTCTCTCTCTTTCTCCTCCATTCCAGCATCATTGCAGGAGATGTGGAAAGTGCTTTTGTGATAAATGCTGCAGCAAGAAAGTGCCTCTGCCTCGTATGTACTTTGTTGATCCTGTACGCCAGTGTGCTGAATGTGCTCTCATTTCTCAGAAAGAAATGGAGTTCTATGACAGGCAACTCAAAGTGCTTATGAATGGTAAGTATTGAATATAGATTCTTATTTGACTTGCTAAAAGACAATATATAAGAGTTTGTTTTGGGTGATACACTTAATAATAATAGTAAATAAATGACATAAAACAGGATTGTGA